GAACGGTCCAATGAGTTGCCCCCTCACTGCCCCACAGATTGTGCCATTGAGATTATTCTGGGGGCTAAGCTGCCCAAACCCAAACTCTACTCGATAACCCCCCAGGAGTTAGAGGAGCTGCAGAAGTTCATAGAAAAAAAATTGGCACAGGGTTTCATTCAGACGGCAAGACAAAAAGTGGTCACCCTGGTGCTGTTCTGTGAAAAAAAAGATGGGTCTCTGCACTTCTGCATGGATTATAGATCTCTGAATGCAATGTGCATAAACAATATCTACCCCTTGCTACTCATGAAAGACATGCTAGCCCACCTCTCAAAGAGGAAGATTTTCTCTAAACTGGACTTGCGGGAGGCATACTACCGGGTTAGAATCAAGGAAGGAGATGAATGGAAAACTATGTTTAACTGTCCCCTAGGATCCTTCCAATTCAAAGTGCTCCCCTTTGGGTTGCAAGTTGAACCCACTGTTTTCATGCAGCTAATTAATGAGGTCCTCCATGAGCACTTATACAAGGGGGTTTGGTATAGTTAGATGACATCCTAATTTATACTGAAATGAAAGAGGAGCATGTCAAATTAGGGCAGCCCGAGTCTATGCTACACTTTCAAAATGTGAATTCCACAAAGAAAAGATTTACTACTTGGGCCACTGCATTTCCCATAAAGGGGTAGAGATGGATCCAGAGAAAGTGTGCGCTGTGCTCAAATGGGCACTGCCACAAACTAGGAGGCAATTGCAAAGTTTCCTGGGTTTTGCCAACTTCTATCAGCAGTTCATTCCCTCATTCATGCAAATTGCCAATTTGTTAAAAATGAAGGTGGAGGAAAGCTGAAACCCAGTCAGCCCTTGAAATGGACTACGGAATGTCAGGCGGCTTTTGAAAAGTTAAAAAGGTTTTTCTCTGCCAAACTGGTGTTTAAACACCCATACCTAGAGAAACTGTTTGTTATTCTGGCTGATGCCAGTGACATTGCAGTGGGAATGGTATTACTGCAGGAAAACCAGGAAGGCCAGTTGCAGCCTTGTGCCTCCACCTCAGAGAAACTCATAGAGACAGAACACAGGTGGGAGAAGGAAGTGTATGCTCTGCGTTGGGCCCTCCTCACTTGGAGGCACTTCCTGGAAGGAATAAAATCCCCTTTCAAGTATGGACAGGTCACAAAAACGTTGAAGCCTTAAAGACCCCAAGGAAGCTATCCCCCAGACAAGCTTGGTGATTCCAGCACTTCCATCGCTTCAATTTTCCATCCGGCATTAATCTGGGGGGGGGGAGGACTTCCTAGCAGATACTCTATCAAGAATGCCACAATACAACAATGTAAAAGCCAAGGTGGTTAAGTCACTATTACCACCAAACAATTAGCTGCCCCCATTACCATGAGAGCACAAACGAAGAAACAGGAGCCTCTGGACAGCACAGCATAGTTTAGACAAGCACTAGAAAAGGATGAATGATTTTGTGATCACAAAAATCTCTGCACAATGAATAATAGGCTGCCATGAGTAGGGGGGAAATTGTATGTACTTGCAGCCTAAAGACTAAAATTTATGCAACTTTGCCATGACTAAAGTTAGCTGGACACCGGATTTGTGAAAACCCTCCACTTAGTAAAGAGACAATTCTGGTGGCCATCCCTAAAAAAGGACATAGAAAGCTATATAACCAGCTGCCCCATTTGTGCTGCAGCAAATCGGAGGCAAGGTAAGGCTACTGCAGGCAGTAGCAAGCACTTCAATACCCTGGAGAGAGATCTCAATGGATTTTATCATAGAACTGCCGGAAAACGCTGGAAATACTGTCATTTGGGTAGTGACAGATCTGTTTTCCAAGCAGGTCCACTTTATACCGTGCCAAAAGATCCCCACTGCTAAAGCTATAGCTAAGGGGTTTGTGCAGCACATATACAGACTGCATGGAGCCCCCAATGCATAATATCAGATAGGAGGGTCCAATTCACTTCGGAGTTCTGGAAAGTTGTTTTGATTCTGCTAGGTACCTGTCAGGGCTTGTCATCTAGTCATTATCTGCAAATGAATGGGGGGACAGAACGAACCAATTCAGTACTAGAACAATACCTAAGATGCTTTATAAACTATCTGTCAATGCTGCAAATACTGTATATTCTTGCTTTGACAATATGCAAAACTGTCTGGCATTTATTGGGTTAATACTTAGCTTAGACTGGGCGGGGGAAAAAAGCCCGGGAAAGAAAGAGGAAGTAAACGTTTGACCTTCTCACTAATTGGATAATGTGACCTGTGACTGCATGAGAAGGGAGGGGTTGAGCACGGAAAGCTTGATGCCAGCGACCGGAAGTTCAGATTCTGGCATCAATTAGTCCAATGGTGACCGGCATAATTTGTAGCTCTGCAAATAAAGACTTTAGGAAACATGCCTGAAAGTTCTTTGAAGTGCTTCATTAGTCGGAACTTGTGACACTATCAACAAGATAATTGGACTGACCTATTGCATTTTGCTGAGGTGGCCTACAACAACGCAGTGCACTCCAATACCAGCTACACCCCATTCCAGGTGGCTACAGGTCAGAGTTTCAACCCAATGCCTGAATTGCCAGCCAATGAACCAACCATCCCATCCTTAAAGGAGTGGATTACCCAATTACAAAATACATGGCCAGTAGTTAGAAAAGTGTTAAATGAGGCTAGAGAAGCTTATAAAGTGCAGGCAGACAAAAAACAGGTGGAGCCAAAGTCTTTCAAAGTGGGGAACAGGATATCCCTTTCCACAAGTTTCCAGAAATCCTTACAACCCTCTAAGAAGCTAGGGCCAAAATTTGTGGGACTCTTCCCCATCAAATGCATCATTAACCCAGTCACAATAGAACTGGAGCTCCCAAAAACCTTAAGACAGGTTCATCCAGTGTTTCACTGTAGCCTACTAAAACCAGAGTTGAATATGCCCTTAAAACCAGCTGAGCCTTCCCCACCACAACCTATTATGGTGGAATGAGAAGAACATTTTGAAATTAAAGAAATTTATACTCCAGGAAACACCATGGATCAACCCAATATTTACTGGCCTGGAAAGACCTCTCAGCTTCCCAGAATGAGTGGGTCCATAAAAAGCATGTGAGAGCCCCTAGGTTACTTAAAGGATTCCATGCTCGGTACCCTGACAAGCCAGACTAATCGTTATGTTTACTTTTATCTTCCTGTTATTATTTTGTCTTTTTCCAGGTGGATCTCTCATTTTTTAAGGGGGGGGTGCATGTCAGAACCCCCTTTCCCTCTTTTACCTATTCCCTTCTTCCCTTTTTTGGGTTCTGCCATTCTGTTGGGGGGAGGGTCCTATGGGTATTCTACAGTGTATTTCCTTTGCTTTGTTCTTTTCTCTTTGAAGTATCTCTTTCTCGGGGTGAGAATGGAATGTTTCTCCGGCCATCTGCCGTATCTCCAGGTGGAGGGAAGAGGCCATGGAGGGACCTGTCAACCTTGAGTGCGGTGCCTAATTGGTTCTTTTCCACAACAATTTGACACATTTGGATTGGCTCTGTTTGAACTGACCGGATAGACAGTTGGGGGGGGGTTGGATTTCAATGTTGAATTGAAACCCTCAGATCCTGCCTTATTTTCCTGTAGTCAGCATCTCCCAATAAAAGTTCCTGTTGAAATGATGCATGTTTCAAGAGTTCTGCTTTCTTGGGAGGTTTAACTCAGGCAGGTCCTTACAAGCTACTGGCTTGTGAGGGCTGCCTGCAGCCTATGGGCCTCAGTTTGCTTTCCACCCAGTTACCAAGAGACTTGGCTACTCCTCAATCAGCTCCAGGGCCCAGAAGCACCCAACATAACGCTCTGCTTTTTGCAGAAAGGCATTTGGATGATGCAAGGCTCAGCTTTCCTACCCAGGCTGCCTTTGTTTTTAAGGGCCTTGGCTTACAAGCTCTAACAGCTCCCCATGTGCATGTGAGAGCTACTATTACCTGATTTTAGTTCTTTTGGATAGCTAAGTGGCCAGGTTGGGAGCAGATCCACAGGTGCTCCAGGGTAAAAGAGCCTTGAGAGGTCTGAGGCAGATGGGTCTGGGCCTGTGCCAAGCCTTCCAGGGCCTCCCCCACCCATGTGGCACCCCATGCGCTCCTTAAAGGCCCACATGTTTGTTTAATGCTGCATTAGGGAAAGCAAGGGGTGGGGGACATTAAGTGAGGATGTTATCACTTGTAACTATAATAGGCAGTCTCCATTATGGTCATAAGTTGAGGACTAATACCATTCTAAGGCTTTAGCCTTAGTAAGGCCACATCTAGAACAGTGCAACCAATTTTGGTCTTCGCCCTATAAAAAAGATGTTGAGACTCTAGAAAAAGTGGAGAGAAGAGCAACAAAGATTATTAGAGGACTGTCAGATCCTCTCAGACCTTATTCTCAGGGCTCTGCCATTCTGTTGGGAATGGGAAGGTTGTACTCTGTTGAGAGGGAGGAAGTCTTGTGGGCTCTGGGATGTATTTCCTTTAGTTTGTGGGGAGGAATGTGCCTGGGGCCATCTGCTTTATCTCTACTCTGCTGAGAAGACACCAGGAAGAAATTGAAATGCCTGAGAACCATGCCTTATTGCTCCAGTTCCCATAACAGCTTCACACCTGTGCATTGGCTGAAGTCAAACTGGACAGTTGGGCACTGGGGAGGGGTTTGAAAGGAGAGTTTTTAATGTAATTTTTTGTGCAGGGATTATTCAGATCTTGTCTTTCTGCTTTCACTGTCTCTCAATTAAAGTTCTTGTTGAAACGATGCCAGTTTCAAGAGTTCTGCTTTCTTGGGAATACTAGCTGAGGCAGGACCTTACATTAGGCAAGATCTGCAAAGTGGCCAACCCGGAGGGATCACAGTCTTACTGCAGGGACTGTGAACATAATGTCCAACCATGGCAGCAAGCAGAAGGAGGCTGAGTGATGGGCAGAGACTCACCCCAAGGAAAGCCCCTCCAAGTGGATGGGGGAAGCTGCCTCCATGGAAAATCTCCCAAAGCCAAGAAGGTCCCTTGGCATTGGGAAAAAGGAGGACTGGGAAGGGAGAATCCGAAAGGTTACTCTCACCCATGGAAGCAGGAAACTGGGACGGAAGTGTGAAATGGAGCTAGTCTACACTGATGACGAGGCAGGTGAAGAGCCAAGCTAAGCTGACCAGTTCCCAAAGCGGGTTATAAATTTGATGGTGGAAGCCTTCCAGAACTTGAAAGGGCAAGAAGCTGGCAGTCCTGGAGAAGCAAGTGAGGAACTGGCAGATGGGTCTGCGTGGGGGGGAAGTGAGTCCCCCATTCCCAAGACCTTGGCAGACACCACAGCTTCTGCAGGAGGGGTGACAACCACCACAGCTACCCCAGCTCGAATCGTGCCAGCCAGGGGTAATGTCCAGAGAGTCAGCAGAAGGGGAGCTCTGTGCCTGGAGCACACCCCCTTGGCGTTAAGTTTGATGGAGACCCTCAACAACTGGGATTCTTCCTCATCCACGTCCTCACCTATATGCAGGAGTACGGGTGGGAACTTCCCAATGAAGGAGCCAGAGTCAGGGTCATCACCCTTGCCCTGAAAGGTGCTGTGGCCAGATGGATGGTGACCTTATACAACGCTGACACACAGGAGCTCTGAAACTTCAACCGCTTTGTGGTAGTACTGAGACAGAGATTTGAAGACCCATTATTGGATTGGAAGGTACAGGACTGCATCAAGATGGTGAGGCAAAGCTGCCACTCCATAGCTGAATAGACCAAAGAGTTCTGGGACCTGGTGTGCCGCCTCAACTGGCTGGAAAACATCCTGGTGAGTTGTTTCAAAGATGGGCTTAACGATGATCTATACCATGCTTGCATTGCCTGAGAGGCCCCTGCCCGCTTCCATGACTGGTGCATTTTGACTGAAGAAGCAGAGATCAACCAAGCTTGGAATCAGCACTGATCTAGCAAAATGTGGAGACGATCCCCACCAGAAGGCAAAAGGGAAGCAACAAAGCCTCTGGCAGCCATGCTGAGCTTAACCACCTGCTTCAAGTGTGGCAAGGAAGGCCACCGGGCTGTAGAATGCCACATAAGAACCTCTGCAAAAAAGGCAGATCGACCATTGGGGAGAAAACCGCCCAAGCCCTTCCAGTGCCCAAAAAATACAGCCATGAAGAACATGGAGGTCATAGAGTTCCATCCCTCCCCAAAATCAGGAGGGGGAACCCTGACTTCACTGAAGAAAGAGCTGGGGACATCTGACAGTGACTACAATGATGACCCCCTGGTAAGTGAGCCGATCGTGTCACTAACCATGCCCATAGAACCATTAATCCCAGGCATGGGGACAAAAGTAGCTCTGAAGGTCCTACTAGACTCAGGGTGCACCAGATGTTTAATAAGCCCTACCCTAGTGGAAAGCTGGGGATCTGCCTAAAGAGATTGAAGAACCCAATTGCATTCTGCCAGCTAGACGTGTCCACCGCTGGAGGTGTCCCAGCCAATTTTGCCACTGAACTCCTGGGCTCCATGGGGAGCCACTCTGAGACTTTAACCTTTATGGTGGCACCTGGCATGGAATGGCCCCTTTTCCTAAGACTGTTGTGGCTGAAAAAATGGAACCCACAGATGAACTGGTGGGGCGGGTGGTTAAGGTTCCCAAAGGAACAGAAAACCCCATCTAGTAGCCGTAATGAACAAAAAGGAGAGTCAAACTGAGAAATGGCAGAGGCCGCAAAGAGCAAGCCATTGAGAGGTATACCTAAGGAATACCATGATTTGGCTGAAGTGTTCAGTGAAAGGGGCTCAGATGAACTCATCAACCCACAGACTGTGCCATTGAAATTGTCCCTGGAGCCAAAACCCAAACTGTATTCCATGACTCCCAGGGAATTAGATGAACTGACTAGTTCTGACAGTGAGAACAATCAACCAATGGAACACTTTGCCTTCAGATGTTGTGGGAGCTTCATCACTGGAAGCTTTCAAGGAGACTGGACTGCCATGTGTCAGAAATGGTGTAGGGTCTCCTGCTTAGGCGAGGGGTTGGACTAGAAGGTCCCTTCCAACTTCTGATTCCGATTCTGACTACCTGTATCTGTGCTTTCATTTTTTTTACTTCTGGTGACTGCCCAGATAAGAAACTATAGTTTTCTTGGCAAAGATTTTCCAGAAGCAGTTTGTCCTTGTCTTCTTCCCAGGCAAACAGAGAGTGATTGGCCCAAGGCCACCCAGCTGGCTTCATGCCCAAGCCCATGATCTCCCAGTTTTAAGCTTGGTGCCTTAGCCATGACAACAAGTTGGCTGGTTAGAAGTCTACAAACAGAGATTTGATGTTCATTTGTCAAAGACGACCCTATACTGAGCAGGGCAGTTAGCCTAGAACATGGGTTGGCAACCGCATGCAGCTCTTTGAGCCTTTTCCTGTGGCTCCCAGCCTCTTCTGCCATTTGCAGAGACAGAGACAGAGACAGAGAGAGGCACTTGCATTTCCCTTCTCTCTCTCTCTCTCTCTCTCTCTCTCTCTCTCTCTCTGTGTGTGTGTGTGTGTGTAAAAAAGAGAGTGGCCTCACATTGTTCTCCGATGAGCTGACAACCTTATTGGGCGGGGCTCCTGCCTTGGCTGCAACTCTGCAGGACACAGGAAGCAGGAAGGGCAGGAGAGAGCCAGCCCAATAAGAATGTGTGTCAGCTTGTTGGAGAACAGTTTGAAGCCGGCTTGCCAAGTGAGCAGAAGATCAGAGAGAGGGAGAGAGAGGGGGGAGAAAGAGAGAGAGGGGGGAGGGAGGGAGAGAGAGAGAGAACTCATGCACAGCAGCCTCTATTTCTTTTTAATTAAACTTTTCAATCAAGCTCTCCCCCTTGCGCATGCACATGTGCGCACACATGTTTTGTAGCTCCCAGTGTTTTCTTTTCTCTGGGAAAAGTGGCTCTTTGAGTGTTTAAGGTTGCAGACCCTTGGCCTAGAAGATCTCTGAGATCCCACCCAACTCTGTGATTCTATGATTGTAACAAACTTCTCTTTCTCCTGCAAAGCCATCTGAAGATCAAAACCATGTAACATTAAAATAAAAATATTACATCAAATATATTATGGCAGCTAATTCCACATACATTTGGCCACACGAAGGGCTTCCTTTTGCCAATCCATTAACCTCAATAGGAGACTTGGAATTTAATATACAAAGAGGGATGAAACCTTGAGTAGATTGATCTTAAGGGGAGCCATGAGGCTGGGGGAGGAAAGTTCATACTTACATGGCTCTGTAGGCAGAATAACTGACATCCAGTGGTATCAGCTGCAACAAATTCACATTTATGCTAGGCAGAAGGAATTTTAGTTTATTTAAGAACCAGGAATCGTAGTCTAAAGCTGTAAATTTGTAGAAATAGCGTTCCAGGTTTGTCAAAATGGTACTCAGCACCTCCAGCCTCACCTTAGCATTTCTGAGGCTCATAATGTTCTTCTGAAAAGAATTTCAAAAAGAAGGAAAGAAAAGAGAGAAGTTCTAAAGCTCTTCACTTGGATGTAGTAAACCAGAGAGTGCACATTAGGCTGAGTGGGTAGTGGAAATTAATTTAGTCCATATTTTAAATTGGACAGCCCTCTTTTAAATTTTGTAAGAAGGATCAGGCATCAACACAATTTGCCTGCAAAATGTTCATGCAAAAAAACTGCAGGAAAGCAAAGTTTGCAATGAAAATGATTTACTAATTGATGAATCACACAGTGAGACCTTAATTTAATGGACTATTCAGGGAGATTTCCGTTCTTCATTTATAACTATTAAATATGAAATTATGTCAGCATAGCAATTTAAAATATTTATGTGAAGATGCCATATGCAAATATGCAAATTGTATCATGTGTACCAATTTAAATTTATTTGTTCAATATATATTTCCAATAATCAGCTAAATCATTTGTATAATAATGCCACAATGCATTTGATGCAAATTGCTATATATAAGATACATATTTTTATTTGTGTATGAAAATTTGTATGGCTATTTAACTCAATCTCAGTGACCCTGGGTGGCTTGCAAAGATAAAACCCCAATAAAAAACAATAAAAGGAAATACCCTCCCTCCCCAGTGACAACAATCAAATGTGTCATATGGTGGGCTCCATCCCTCTCTGGAGGCCTCCCTCTCCCAGCACTGTGGGTGGGAGGTGCCAGCATCATTTAACTCACTGTGAGCTATAGCTATTGACTGTGACCTATAGCTATTGATATCTTAGCCCACAGTAGCAGATGATCTCACCCAACTGTTTTATGTAGATGTTAAACAGAAGTGGAGAAAGTACTGAGCCCCACAGGACCCTGCAAAACAGGGGACAAAGGTCAGGCCTCTTACTTCTTAAGACCCACTCAGAACAATCACAGTGAAAGGAAGTGAACCAGGACAACCAGAGTTCCTACTCCCAAAGCCACTCCGGAAGGATACAGGTAATCCTCGACCTATGACCACAATTGACCCCAAAATTTATATTGCTAAGTGAGATAGTTGTTAAGTGAATTTTGCCCCACTTTACAATCTTTCATGCCACAGTTGTTAAGTGAATCATTGCAGTTGTTAAGTTAGCAATATGGTTGTTAAGTGAATCTGGCTTCCCCATTGATTTTGCTTGTCAGAAGTTTGCAAAAGCTGATCATGTGATACTGCAAGCATCCAAATTTTGATCATGTGACCATGAGGATGCTGCAACGGTCGTAAGTAGAAAAATGGTCATCGTCACTTTTTTCAGTGCCATTGTAACTTTGAACGGTCACTAAATGAACTGCTGTAAGTCAAGTATTACCTGTAGTATGGTCAATGTTATTGGGGGCTGCTGAGAGATCTAATTTACTATAGGCTGATCTGGCATTTAAAAGCAGCAACCTAAAACCTGGACCCCACAGCTCTGCTGACCATGTAAATGAGGTGAGTGCGAGGAGGCAGAACATGAGACCAATATGAAATACCGAGGTCGCTTTCCCCATGAGCACCTCCCCGTGGCCTTCCATATTTCCCATTAACCAACACCACTGAAATACACTGTCCTACCCTCTCTTCCATGCCAGCCACCCCATTCAACTGATGTAAAAAGGAAACCTCATCCAACTAACAAATCTAAGATAAATGTAATGTTTTATTCTGGGGACTGGAAACTGCAGACTTCGAAATCCTCATGTGTCCCTCAAGCCATCGGTCCAGAAAGCCAGCAAGAATAATTTGCTTCTTACATAAGAGCTTGCTGGGAAAAAAGGAAGATGAGAGAAGGCAGAAAGGATGAACTCAGTTGCCCCTGCTCTTGAAGGCATGAAGCCCCAATAGATGATCCGTGAAAGCATATGACCCTACCTGCAAAATATTCCCCATATTTTCTGAGAAATTACCTGTTCAATGACCAAGTTGAGCCTTGTCAAGAATTCATCCATTTTGGCAAGACAAATTTCAGAGTTTTTATCCTTTAGGGTCGAAAGAACATGCATCATTGTGGTCACATTGACCAATGCATTTGATGTCGCAATGAAGTCAATCAGCTGGCGAACATCCAGGAAATGTAAGAGATGAAACTAGAAAATAAAGATGGTTCCTGGTCACTAGTCAGCTCTTTCTTCCATTTGAAATGAAAAAGGAGGATACTGCCAGCACCAGGGAAACTCCTTTATTGAGTTTTGCCAGGTTGTTGAATTGAGCTTCCATGCAAGGTCAGTATCTTGAACAATTTTTTTTAAAGGGATCTTGAGGACTGTATGCTTCAGTAATTTATTTTGAAATTTATTTGTGCAATTTAGAGATCACACAATTTCATAAGACTGTAGACTATGCAATCAGAATAAAGAGAAAACAATAATTAATTAAACAACATTTTATAGGTCTCGACACCACCTGACATAAGGGCTGAAGGAACAGAAAGGCTTTCAGCAACTTTTTGAACATCACCTAGTGGGAGCCATACAGACTTCTGGGAGGTTACACCTTCAGAGGGCAGGTGCCATGACAGAACATTTCCTAGATTCTGAAAATGGCATTTTTAATTAAAGGTACTTGGAGCATGCCTATTTATTTTTTATTTTAGATTGTTTTAATGCCATTATAAATAACTCAAGATGGGAAATATACCCAATATCCCTTCCTCTTCCTATTTTCTTCATTATAACAATCCTGTTACGGTGAGTTGGGCTGAGAAAGAGTGACTGGCGCAAAGCACTCAGCTGACTTTCTTGCCTAAAGTGAGACTGGAACTCATAGTTTCCTGGCAATTGGCCCAAAGTCACTGTCTCCTGGTTTCTAATCTGGTTCTTCATCACTAGACCAAAATGACTCTCTATGGCTGTCTTTCTACTATGCCCAATCTTAGTGACAGAAACTATTGAAGATTGGCAGTCACTCAGATAACCAGGCTATGCCATGAAGGTGTCAGAATCCAATTATATTTCATCTTTAATTATCAAACATAGAAACTCCCAATTCTGCCTTCTCTGGATTCTGCCATAAGAGGGAGAAAAGGGGGAGAGCAAAGGGGCTTTATGGCCCTCACTTCCTTCAGCACCCTTCAAAGGACTGAATGTGTGTTTATTGTGGCCTCTAAGCTTTAACATATCAAAGAAGAGTAATTGCCTTTCATGTAGTTATCTGAAGTCTCCATCCAGACGGAAGAAGAAAGTGGATGGAATTGTGATACTTGAAACTATCACTGGAAGGGGGGTTGATTGGGTGGGACTACTGGGGAACCCCTTAAAACCTTGAATGGGAGAGCTTGAACCCAAAGTCCTGTCTAGCATGCCTGCAACCATTTTCTCTTAATAAAGGATTCCTGTTGGAAGAGCTATTCCAAGAGTTCTGTCTTCTTAAGATGCAAAGTGGGGTGGGTCCTTACATTAGACAGGACTTGCAAAATTAATCAACCTGGAAGGTAGACCCTTGCCGGGGGATTTTGCAAAAATTTACCATGTCAGACAACGAAGCAAGAGAGGGAGAAAACTCCCTGGAAAGAGAGCCGCTGAACCAGTTGGAACCTTGCCAGATGTTGGGATCCGAGAGGCCAGATTTCTCAGAAGAAGAAGTGGTGGAGACACAGGACCACAAGCCTAGCTGGTCGATGGGCGTTGGAAAGAAAAGCGAGTGGGGAAAGTAATCAAGAAAAGTGACCCTGAGACGGGGGACCAAGCAACCAGAATGGAAGCAGGAGATGGAGAAATCCCTGCACGCAAGTGAAGAGGGAGGAAGCTGTATGCAGTACTCAGACTGGATCCTAGAGAGAGCTATTGACCTGATGAAGAGAACTCTCAGCTCCCTAGGAGAGGAGATTCCTGAGCCCTACGCCCGCCCCAGGTCCTGGAGCCACAAAGGGAGAGACACCGAGGGGGACGTGGAACCTGCAACCCCAGGGACATTTACGGATCCAGGAGCTCCCACCCCCTACCGGACCACAGATGGAAATCTGGACGGAAGACACTACCACCCACAATGGAGGCACCGATCCATTCCAAGACGTCCACCGTTGGAGGTTAAATTCAAAGGGGAGCCAACACGCTTGGGGTTTTTCCTAACCCAAGTCCTCAGCTACATGGAGGAATATGGGCAGGACATCCCCAGCGACAAAGCCCGCATCCGGATCGTGCAATCTGCCCTGGATGGACCAGCTGCAGATTGGGTGGTGAACCTGCATGACTCCAATGCCCCAGAACTCAGTAACTTCAACCGTTTCATGTCATCGTTGAGAAGACGGTTTGAAGACCCCCTGGCTGATCGCAAAGCCCGTGAAAGAATAACAACGATGAGGCAGGGCATACGCCCAGTGGCTGAGTATACACAAGAATTCCGAGCCATTGCCAGCAAACTGAATTGGCCAGAAGACATCCTCCTTGGCCGTTTCAAAGACGGACTAAACTATGATCTATATGATGCTTGCCTGCCCCGAGGAGACCCACATCGACTTGAGGAATGGTACGTCTTGGCAGAGGAAGCAGAGGTCGACATATTGAAGAGGCATCGCCGAGGAAAACAATGGAGCCGCCCCCCGCCTGAGCTGACACACCAACCGGTGAAATCATCGGATACAGCCAAGAAGCAGATGGGGTGTTTCAAGTGCGGAAGAGAAGGGCATCGAGCTGTAGAATGCCGATCAAAGGCCCCCCAGCACAACCCAGACAGATCCCCAATCAACAAACCCAGAGGGTATTCAGCTAAGCCAAAAGAAACAGCCATGAAAATGATGGAAATTGCAGAAAACCCCAACTCTGCTCACCAAGGGGAAAGAACTCCAGCCTACACCACAGGGACGGTGGATGCCTCAGATGACAGCTCGGAAGGCGAACCCCTGGTAAGTGGACGCATCACACCCATCTTCAAAACAGTGACTATATTAATCCCCCCCATGCCCGAAGCTGTGAAGGTGAATGCCTTAATAGACTCTGGCTGCACCCGCTGCCTCATTAGCCCAACACTAGTGGGGAATCTGGGCATCCCATCCAGGAGACTGGAACAACCAATCTCATTTGGCCAGCTAGATGGATCCATAGCAGGGGGGTTGCCAGCTACCCTAGCCACTCTGCCAATACACCTCTCCCTGGGCAACCATGAAGAGGACTTAACGTTTGTGGTGACCCCAGGTATGGAATGCCCATTGATTCTAGGGATGGAATGGTTGAAAAAATGGAACCCCTGGGTAAATTGGAGGACGACAGAAATCAAATTCCCGAAGGGGGACCCTATGGACTTAAAACCCCAAGAGAGGCTACCAGAATCAAGAATAGAAAAAGCATCCAGAGGAGAGGAAAAAAGATTAACAGAAATACCAGAGGAATATAGAGACCTTGCTGAAGTTTTCAGTGAGGAGAGGGCAGATGAGCTCCCCCCCACCGACCCACAGACTTACCATTGAATTCAAGCCTGGGGCAAAACTCCCGAAGCCCAGATTATACTCCATGAGCCCAACGGAGAAGGAGGAAATGGAAAGATTTATAAAAAAAAAACCTGGAGAGAGGTTTCATTGAGCCAGCCAAGCCTAAAGTGGCTGCCCCGGTCCTTTTTAGAGAGAAGAAGGATGGCTCTTTACGTTTATGCGTGGATTATAGGGCCCTGAACACAATCAGTGAAAGCAACCTATACCCGCTGCCCCTCATGAAAGACATGCTGTCACACCTAGCGAAAGGGAAAATTTTTTCTAAACTAGACTTAAGGGAAGCTTACTATCGCGTGAGAATCAAGGAAGGGGACGAATGGAAGACTGCATTTAACTGCCCCATGGGGTGCTATCAATTCAAAGTCTTGCCATTTGGATTACAAGGGGGCCCTGCAGTATTTATGCAATTAATCAATGACGTTCTAAGGGAGCACCTGTTTAAGGGGGTCCTTGTTTACTTGGACGACATTCTTATCTTTACCGAAACAAAAGAAGAACACGGCAAACTTGTCAGAGCGGTTTTAAAGAAGCTGCGAGCCGCTCACCTATATGCCAAACTCTCAAAATGCGAATTCCACCAGGAAAGGATAGACTACCTAGGCTATCGCATATCCCCACAGCGCATTGAAATGGACCCAGAGAAGGTCAGAGCAGTATTAGAATGGGCACCACCCCGCACAAGAAAACAACTACAAAGTTTCCTGGGCTTTGCAAATTTTTACCGCCAATTCATCCCCTCATTTGCACAGATAGCCTTGCCCCTCACCAACTTACTCAAAACGAAGGGAACATCCTCAGTAAAACCTAGCCAGCCACTAACCTGGACAATGGAGTGCCAAGCAGCGTTTGAGAGACTAAAGAGACTTTTTTCTGCCGAACCAGTACTAAGGCACCCAGATATGGACAAGCCCTTCATAATACAGGCAGATGCAAGTGATGTGGCAGTGGGGGCTGTGCTATTACAAGACAATGATGATGCAGTATTGCAACCCTGTGCATATACATCTAAGAAACTCACGGAAACAGAACAGCGCTGGCCCGTATGGGAGAAGGAGGCTTATGGGATACGTGGGGCATTACTCACGTGGCGACAGTTCCTGGAAGGCAACAAAATCCCCTTCCAGGTATGGACTGATCACAAAAATTTAGAAGCCCTGAAAACTCCCAGGAAACTCAATCCCAAACAAGCCCGCTGGTCCAAGCATTTTCACCAATTCCAATTTAAGCTCAAACATTTACCAGGAAGAAAGAACTTCCTGGCAGATGCACTATCTCGCATGCCCCAATATAACAGCGCACGAACCACAGACTCTAGACCAATAATGGCAGAATCACAACTGGCAGCGCCAGTAACCACAAGAACCCAAGCAAAAATAAAACCACAACTGGACAGCCAAACTGGGATTGAATTCAGAAAAAGTTTGGAAACAGATGATTGGTTCCAGAAAAACAAACATGTGTGCACAAAGAGAGACGGATTGCCTTGGGTAGGGGAAAAGTTATATATACCAACAACTCAAAGACTAACTTTCATGCAACTTTGCCATGACACAAAATCAGCAGGGCATTTTGGATTTGTAAAAACTCTACACTTAATTAAACGGCAATTTTGGTGGCCATCAAAAAAAAAGGACATAGAAAGTTATGTTGCCAGCTGCCCAACCTGTGCATCAGCAAAGAGGTTGCAAGGGAAATCGCCAGGGCTGTTACAACCAGTGGCAAGTCCCTCAGCCCCCTGGAGGGAAATAGCCATGGATTTTATAGTGGAATTGCCTGAAAGCAATGGGGATACTGTTATCTGGACAGTCACGGACCTATTTTCCAAACAGGTGCACTTTATCCCTTGCCAAAAAATTCCCACTGCAAAGGCCTTAGCAAAACTTTTTATCCCGCACATTTACAGATTGCACGGGGCACCCCAACGCATCATCTCTGATAGGGGAGTGCAATTTACGTCTACATTTTGGAAGGAATTTTTATCCCTCTTAGGGACCACTCAGGACTGACATCTAGCCATCACCCTCAGACAGATGGACAAGCGGAACGCTGCCAGTCGGTACTTGAGCAATATTTGAGATGTTTTTTAAATTTCCAACAGAGTGATTGGACGGACTTACTTCCTTTTGCAGAAGTTGCCTACAATAATGCAGTCCACTCCAGCACAGGCTACACTCCTTTTCAAATAGCCAACGGCCAAAGTGTCAACCCTATGCCAGAGTTGACCCCAAAAGAACCAACGATCCCTTCACTGAAAGAATGGATGGAAAGCCTACAAAACACCTGGCCAATAGTCAGAAAATCACTAGATGACGCTAGGCGGGCATACAAAGCACAAGCCGATAAAAAAAGGGTTGAGCCTACACCATTCATTATAGGAGAAATGGTGTACTTATCTACAAAATACCTAAAGTCCCTACAGCCCTGTAAAAAAACTTGGACCAAAATATATAGGACCTTTTCCAATTAAAAGGATCATAAATCCAGTAACAGTAGAATTAGAATTACCCAAAAACCTCAGGCAAATACACCAAATTTTTCATTGCAGCTTGCTGAAAAGAGAGCATCAGTCACCTCTACGGCCAAAAATCCCCCCCCCACCACCTCCAATCATGGTGGAGGGGGAACAACACTTCGAAATAAAAGAGATCCTTGACTCTAGGAGATATCGTGGAAAAACTCAGTACCTAGTTGCCTGGAAACACCTCCCTGCCTCACAAAATGAGTGGGTCCATAAACGTCACGTCAGAGCCCCGAAGCTATTGAAGAAGTTTCACACAGAGTATCCTAACAAGCCTAACTAAATTTTTTTACTTGTGTTTTCTTTCAGGTGGATCTCTCTTATTGTTAAGAGGGGCCGGATGTCAGAATCCAATTATATTTCATCTTTAATTATCAAACATAGAAACTCCCAATTCTGCCTTCTCTGGATTCTGCCATAAGAGGGAGAAAAGGGGGAGAGCAAAGGGGCTTTATGGCCCTCACTTCCTTCAGCACACTTCAAAGGACTGAATGGGTGTTTATTGTGGCCTCTAAGCGTTAACATATCAAAGAAGAGTAATTGCCTTTCATGTAGTTATCTGAAGTCTCCATCCCGACGGAAGAAGAAAGGGGATGGAATTGTGATACTTGAAACTATCACTGGAAGGGGGGTTGATTGGGTGGGACTACTGGGGAACCCCTAAAAACCTTGAATGGGAGAGCTTGAACCCCAAGTCCTGTCTAGCATGCCTGCAACCATTTTCTCTTAATAAAGGATTCCTGTTGGAAGAGCTATTCCAAGAGTTCTGTCTTCTTAAGATGCAAAGTGGGGTGGGTCCTTACAGAAGGCTTTATATATGACAACTAGCACCTTGAATTGCATATGCAAGCACACTGACAAGCAGGGCTGCTTGAAGAACAATAGTATCAATTGCTCTGGACCTTGTAGAATTATACCATTTCTTTCCTATTCGTTCAAGGAACAAGAATAATTTGAGGGAACTATGTCTCTCCAGTGATATCAGCCCAGCCCATTAGACCTGGCAGAGAAGTCATGTTGTGGGTTCTGTTGGTTAGGGACCTACATTTGGTAGTTCCCAGGAGAAACACCTTCTCTGCCACAGCACCATCCTTATAGAACATTCTTCCCCCTGAATCTAACCCCATCTCTTTTGATTTTCCAAAAAGCCCTCAAGGCCTGCTGAGATTACTATTTTTGAGGTATCCATATTTGTCCTTCTCATCACCTAGCATTTCTATCTTTGGTTTTTATGACATTTATTAATATGATTTTTTTGAATTTTATATTTATGGATTTTACATTGTTATTTGAATATCATTGTTGTGCACCACCCACAGTCACTTTTGATGAGATTGGTGGCTATATAAATTTGATGATAGGTAGGTAGGTAGGTAGGTAGGTAGGTAGGTAGGTAGGCAGGCAGGCAGGCAGGCAGACAGACAGACAGACAGACAGACAGACAGATAGATAGATAGACAGACAGACAGACAGACAGACACAAAACAAGACAAGACAAGGCAGATTTCCTAAGACAATTGCATGACACCTGCAAGAATTTGGCCTTCTCTAAGAAATAATAAAGGGTTGCATAAGGTTCAAAGTACATTTTTCAAATCGCTTTGAGAATACACACATACCTTCTGCCCCCACAATCACTGTGGTCTAAATTAGCTGCTAAGCAATAAATCATACTCACAGGGTCAAACTTCTCATGAGTGGATTTCACTTCTTCCAAGGTGGCATCATGGAAGAACAAGCCCCATGCCTGATGGATCCATTCATCACTGAACTCCATGTGATATGCTGAATAAGGAACAAGGGAACTCATGAAATACAGAGTTTATCCAGTGCAAACACTATACCTTACCATGCAATTCACTATACGGAGGAGAACTTGACCCTCTCTTTAACCAACGCAAAGCATATTTATTTCCAGTGCTTTTTTTGTTAAAAAAAAAAAAGGTGCCGGAACGCGCACACATGTCATACAACCCGCCTTGCCTACCCTGGTTCCATCCAAAAAAGGTGCCTGAACTCCGTTCTGGGTGTTCTATGACAAAAAAAGCCCTGTTTATTTCTATTTACAACTGCCCATCATTCTCACCCCTACCAAACGGAAATTGTTTAAGGGGGGGGGGAGAGCTGAGATGTCTCTCTCAGAAATCAATCATGTGCTATCAGCGATGGCTGTTAGCAGCCCCATAAATAGAACTTCAGAATGACCTGACCCCAAACTGGCCATTCACACTTCAGAATGATGCACTCATCACCATTGTAATCCCTCACTAAAAATGGCTTGACTATACTTAAGCTCATAGAAACAGCTCTCTGGGGCAGCAGGATGGCAAATCAGAAATAATTCCCTTTTTCCTGGAACAGCACATTTTATATGTGAATTTATCTACCCCTCTCTTTGCTGTCTCACGTGTTCATGGGACATGAAGCACACCTAGTGTTATGACACATCTCAGTGACCAGCTGTCATTAGGAAATGAGTAATGGAACGCTATGATCAGAGATCATTCCAATGGAGACAGCTCTTAAATCTGTCAAAGATAGCATGAGTCTGATGTCAGATTACCTTTAAATTCCTTGAGATAGTGAATAATCCAGAGCACTACAGCTCTCTTTGAGGTTTCTGACATTTGGTCATGTGCATTGCTAAACCTTGAGACACTGAAAAGACACAAGTAACAACGGAAAATGACTCAATCGTTCACAATCACTGAGATTTTTGCATGCAAGAGCTCCCAGAAGATATTACCACAGTTCATTTGGACTACAGGATGTGTTCTTCCCAAATTTCTTTTCTGTCCTGGCAGAACCACCTTGATGCAGAACCGTTAGAACTCATTTATGGGTTAACCCAGAGATTAACCTCCAACCAAAGAGATGTTAGGTAAACTCAGTAGGGATTGAATCTGAAAACGGAAGAACTGCTGAGGGGCCTATTCCATCAAGTAGTAGTGGGAAAGGGGCAGAAATCAGGCCTTTCTGGCACTAGCCCTGCACTTTAGAATCCTCTTCCCCCTAAGTAAAACATAGGAGAGGCAGTGTGGGGCACCAACATGAGTTCTAGTTCCACCTTTGACATGAAGCCAGCTGAGTGATCAGGGGCAGCCACTCTCTCTCAGCCCCATGAAGGAGGCAATGGCAAATGTTGCCATGAAAACTGCAGGACTTATCAAAGAGTCAGAAACTGACTTAAAGGCACACACATACAAAAGGTAAAACTGGCCCCAACCCCCTTGAAAGTCATAAGGTTTGGAAGGCCATACCATTTTGGCCAACTGGGCAACTGTCTTTATTATTATTTGTTACTATTTTACTATATTATACATGGCGATGTGTGTTATTTCTTGCATTGTTGTACATCACTCACAAGTCGGTATAATTGGGGCAGCTTACAAATACACAAATAAGCCTAATGTAGGCAAACTGTTCTAGATTATAAGTCCCAAGTCTTATTGACTGAGGCTTTGATAGTTAAGGTCTAAGCCACCTGGGGGATATTAGAGTACCCTCTGTAGTCTAATAGTCTCTTCTGTAGTAGCCAGGCTGGTCTTAGAAAATGTGCAAGGAATCCAGTGCTTTGTTTGCAAGTGAGCTCCCTTGGTAAAAAAAAAAAAAAAAAAAAAAAAGACGATAAGTCAGGGACTGAAAATGGGTGTCTGAGGATTGAGAAAGATGGTAGAGAGCAACCTCACTAATTTGTTCTATAATTGCCCAGACTCACAATTTTGGCCATTTTGTAAATGGACTTCTTTAAGGAACCACCAACATTGTCTCTAAACTTGCACAACATACTTTAAAAATATGAAAAGTGCTCACTCGTACAGAAAGGCTAGAGACTCCTGCTATAATAGCAAATGTATCGAATACGTACATAACCACGAAGGATGCATAGTCTTGGGGAATGATGTAAGTAAGTGTTGTAGTATTGAATGCATAAGCAAGGAACCATAGATCTTGCTGGAATGTGATGTTCCAATCAATTGCAGTATACATCTCCAGGTGAGAAGATGCCAGTTCCAGGAAATTTGTCAAGAGCAACTGGGTCACTTCCAGGTTTGGAAGGACAACAATCTTGTGCTGCACAGTGATTACAAGAAAGTCACCAAATTGAAAACATGGAGAATGAGAATGGAGAAGAGATCCATATTTGTATCTAGAAAACCCTGGCCACGGAAAACAAGTTTTACCCTTGCATTACCCTTGACCCTGCTAATTATGATTGTATAGAGATGATTTTTATATAAGAAATATTCAAATATAAATTCTTTATTCTCTACAGTTTAAAGTGGTTCATGACCACTCATCGAGGCATCTGCCCTGTATGTTTACAATCCCAGGGCTTGTTCTTGAGAGATTGGTTTCTTTTTTATGTAAAAACTGGTGAAAAGGTCTCTTCATAGTTTAAAAATGTTTTAAAACACTTACAAAAATGTTATTTGAAGAGAGGCTCCCTGACTTTGGCATTTTCTAGAATGATCATACAATAAACAACGTGGCAAACACTTTTTAAAAAGAAAGTGAAATTTCCATCTGCTCCCATGTAATCCAATGAACATTTCAATTTTTGGAAAATAAAATAAGAAAAAATGCCAAATCACAAAACTGTTCCACTGAAGAGAGGAGAACAAAGCAGATTTTTAAGAATATATAGATTTCTATTATAGATTTTGATTAATTTATTTGAAGAAACCAAGTTACTGATAAGTCACTAATGGAATTATCAGTGCAAATAGTGCTGACATTTTGAAACAACCACCTTCAGTAACCATGTTTTTCTCATAAAAATGGACTGGGGGCAGAGGTGGAGAACTAGGGAGACAAACCTTAATAGCAGCTTGGGTGAATTCTTTGAGAATCATCTGGACATCGCTGAAGCTGCTACCTTGGAAGAAGACCACAAGATGTTTTGCCAAAGAGATGTTGGTCAAAGTGTCAGAATGGATTATCATATCCCCGATTTGTTTTGGAGTTAATAGATCCAAAACTGTGTACTGTTGGGGAAAATATATAAATATTTATGTATCTGAGATGACAGACAGACAGACAGACTGACAGACAAATGATAGATAGATAGACAGACAGATAGATAGATAGATAGATAGATAGATAGATAGATAGATAGATACTGTAGATAGATAGATATGAAAGAGAGACCTGTAAGCAAATAATAATAAAATCTCCCACTCTTCATTTGCTTCAACATTGTTTAATAAGTCACACTATTACTCAGATTACTAGGCTGGCTATCATAGTGGATATGGCCAATAACAAGTCATCTTCTCCAAGCAGTTTACAGGTAACTCCCAAATTCCCAGCCAGCTGGTCCAATACAGAAATTGTCAGATTAGAGCAGTGGTTCTCAACCTGTGGGTTGGGACCCCATTTGGGGTCGAACCACCATTTCACGGGGTCGCCAAACAACGCAGTCCGCCATTTTTCCCCCTTTTCCTTAGCTGTGGTACTCCCTTTTATTCTATTGGCTTTTGAAAGCCAATAGAATAGACTCTCTTGAATAGAGTCTAATTCTATTGGCTTTCAAAAGCCAATAGGAATTGTCCAGGCTGTCTCTGCCCTGCTGAGCCCACCAAAAATCCCATTCTGCAGATGGTGCTGCACCAGTTGAGTAGTCCTCGACTTACAACCGGTTGGGGGTCGCGGCATTAAAAAGGCTGAGAACCACTGGATTAGAGGAATAGTGTGCCATTTTGATTGTGCAATTCCCTTTGTCACTCTTCCTTCTCACTTATCATGGAAGGGCAATAGTTCGCTTGAAGATGACAGATTTCTGTAATTGATGACTGACTGACTGATGAAAAAAAGGCCCCAGTCTACCTTTTTTCAGTTGCTATACTGTACAGTATTCTTTTTTAAGTAGAAGAGTGCTGATTTTTCCATTTCTAGTCTTTAATATCCAAGCACCCTTCTGAAAGAATCAATCTCACATCTCACATGTTTTCTTTCCCTCAATTCTTCACTAGGAGACAGTCAATCTTGCCCTAGCTAATAGCAAGCATAGTTTTCTTTTTACCCTACATCTGGAGAAATGGGGCATTAGATCAATACCACTAGGCAAAATAGCTCTGCTGTGGGAGGTCTCTTATATGCCTAGAAACCAAAAGATGTGGCAGGCTCAAGTCCAAACCTCCACAAAAGACTTACTACATCAAAGGTCTGGCGGTAGTAGGAAATCAACTGAATGTATGGCATAGTCATAGAGAATCTCCTAAAGAATGTGAGGAGCCAATTTCTGGTTGTGGTTTTTTCAGAACAGATAGGACCTACAAAAGCATGCAAAAATAAAAATTGTGAGCCAACTTCTTTATTGAGGACTGTGGTTCTCCTCCCAAATTAAATTCTACTTTAGTGCAAATTAATTATTATAATTGCATCTTCAGACATAATGATTACCTCTATATATATATATATATATATATATATATATATATATATATATATATATGTAGGTCTTTGGTTGTTCGGGTTTTCTCCCACGTAAAATTGGAAGTGTCTTGGCGACGTTTCGACGAAGTCCCATTCGTCATCTTCAGGCTGGTGCTTTCAGCTTCGTGCCTCGAGCAGCAGTGTGTGGTCTTGGCTGTTTCTTCCTTTTAACTGCCAGTGGAGGTATGAACTGATTGGGTGGGAGCTTGGCTGTGTTCTGATTGGGTGGAGGTGTGTTCTGATTGGTTAGGGGCTTGGCTGTGCTCTGATTGGCTGGGGGGTTGGCTGTGCTCTGATTGGCTGGGGGTTGGCTGTGCTCTGATTGGCTGGGGGAGTGTTCTGTTTGGTTGTGCTCAGGTTAGTCTGAGTTGCAGAGGGATTCAAGATTTTGGGCTGCCCTGCCATTCCTTGGCTTCGCGTTCGTGGTCGTGCTTCTTCATGGAGGGTGTCAGTTTGCTTCATGTATGGATTGGGGGGGTTTAAAGTGGCTAATGATGCAGCTGTGGTCTGGCTTCTGGTTTGTGGTCGTGCCTCATCATCGGTGTGGCTTTGGGTTTGTTTTTTGCGTGGATGTGTGGTGGTGACATCCTGTGTGGTTTTTGTGAGTGTGGGTCTGGTATCATTTTTTGGGAGTCGTTTGTCAATAAGGGCGGGTTTCCAAATGGCTGGTAGGCGGGAGGTATCATCTCGCTTGTTCATGCTGTGTGGGCGTTTTTCTATCTCGATGGCTTCTCTGATTATTCTGTTATTAAAATGTTCACTTTTGGCAATGGTTCTGGTATTTTTAAAGTCAATTTCATGTCCTGTGGCTTTAAGGTGTTGGACCAGGGAAGATGTTGGTTCCTCTTTTTTGACTGAGTTCTTATGTTCTTCAATGCGTGCACTTATTCTTCTGTTGGTTTGTCCGATGTATGTGGTGGGACAAGTGGTGCATGGGATTTCGTATACTCCTTGATTTTCTAATTCAATTTTATCTTTGGGGTTTCTAAGGATGGTGGATATTTTTCTGTTTGTGCAGAATGCTGTTTTGATGTTGTGTTTATGGAGGATCTTACTGATTCTGTCTGTGGTGCCTTTTATGTATGGGAGGAGGGCTTTGCCGTTTTCTTGTTCTTTGTCTTGGATTTTAGTGGGGATTTCTTTTTGGATTAGGTTTGTAATCTTATTTCTATGGAATCCATTGGATGTTAGTACATTGGTGAGAGTGTGTAGTTTGAAACCCAAGCTCTAGAAAAATCGGATCACAAACCCAAACTCTGGCTCAGATACGTAGACGACACCTTCATAATCTGGCCACATGGGAAAGAAAAACTGGACAACTTCCTCACACACCTCAACAGCCTACACCCCAAAATACAGTTCACCATGGAAACAGAAGCTAACAACCAACTTCCCTTCCTGGATGTCTTAGTCTACAAGAAATCCAATGGCTCCCTAGGACACACCATCTACCAGAAGAAAACACACACAAACCGCTATCTGCACGCTCTCTCACACCACCACCCAGCACAGATCAACTCTGTAGCCAAGACACTCATCTCCAGAACAAAATGCTTAGCTGACGAACAACACCTAAAACCCGAACTACACACTCTCACCAATGTACTAACATCCAATGGATTCCATAGAAATAAGATTACAAACCTAATCCAAAAAGAAACCCCCACTAAAATCCAAGACAAAGAACAAGAAAACGGCAAAGCCCTCCTCCCATACATAAAAGGCACCACAGACAGAATCAGTAAGATCCTCCATAAACACAACATCAAAACAGCATTCTGCACAAACAGAAAAATATCCACCATCCTTAGAAACCCCAAAGATAAAATTGAATTAGAAAATCAAGGAGTATACGAAATCCCATGCACCACTTGTCCCACCACATACATCGGACAAACCAACAGAAGAATAAGTGCACGCATTGAAGAACATAAGAACTCAGTCAAAAAAGAGGAACCAACATCTTCCCTGGTCCAACACCTTAAAGCTACAGGACATGAAATTGACTTTAAAAATACCAGAACCATTGCCAAAAGTGAACATTTTAATAACAGAATAATCAGAGAAGCCATCGAGATAGAAAAACGCCCACACAGCATGAACAAGCGAGATGATACCTCCCGCCTACCAGCCATTTGGAAACCCGCCCTCATTGACAAACGACTCCCTAACACAAAAAATGATACCAGACCCACACTCACAAAAACCACACAGGATGTCACCACCAAACATCCACGCAAAAAACAAACCCAAAGCCACACTGACTATGAGGCACGACCACAAACCAGAAGCCAGACCACAGCTGCATCATTAGCCACTTTAAACCCCCCCAATCCATACATGAAGCAAACTGACACCCTCCATGAAGAGGAAGCACGACCACGAACGCGAAGCCAAGGAATGGCAGGGCAGCCCAAAATCTTGAATCCCTCTGCAACTCAGACTAACCTGAGCACAACCAAACAGAACACTCCCCCAGCCAATCAGAGCACAGCCAACCCCCCAGCCAATCAGAGCACAGCCAACCCCCCAGCCAATCAGAGCACAGCCAAGCCCCTAACCAATCAGAACACACCTCCACCCAATCAGAACACAGCCAAGCTCCCACCCAATCAGTTCATACCTCCACTGGCAGTTAAAAGGAAGAAACAGCCAAGACCACACACTGCTGCTCGAGGCACGAAGCTGAAAGCACCAGCCTGAAGATGACGAATGGGACTTCGTCGAAACGTCGCCAAGACACTTCCAATTTTACGTGGGAGAAAACCCGAACAACCAAAGACCTACATACAAATACCCGCGAAAACCTCAGAAAACATATATATATGTTTAACATATATATATATATATGTTAAACATATATATATGTTATTTTCATTTTTTTCAGTAGTAATGCCCCTGTGCCTTGCTTCCTGCTCCATCTTAAGACTTGTTGTCCTGTGCCCAGTAGTCTGATCCTAACCCTTTCTCCCACTTTGCAGACTTTCCCCCCTTGCAGAGAGGAAAGTTTGCTTAAACAAGCTATCTGTTCATACAGTGCTTTTCTTCCCAGTGATGGTGGTAGCAGCAGCACTTATCGAAAAGGTGCTGGCCTCAGTTAGCTCTGAGAGCTTAGTTGATTAACACCTTCCACATCTGAAATTGGCAAGACTGTAATTAGTTTCACCCTAAAGGCTTTTTTCTGTCTCCTAAGCATCTGGGAGCATGCTGAGCAAACAGCCAGTGCTAAGGCATTACTTTCCATGTATATTTCCCATTGTGTACCTCCTGTACTTGCTCTCCTGTAATCCCTTTCTGACCAAAGAGTGTACATATAAGCATTAATTTCCCCTTGCTAGAAAACAGAATCACGTAAGGATTCCAAAGGGTGGGAAGTGGGGAAAAGGGCCATAAAACTGAATTGATTTCTGGAACATTGCCATGTCATTTGAGCTCACCCACTTGTTTGGGGTTGTACAGTATCTTTCAGATGCTGTAAATATGTTCAAGGGCGATTTTTTAATAAACCCTTTTCAAGACCATCCTGGCACTTCTCTTAGTGTTGTCATTCTTTGGAAATCATCCTTCAATTTCTAAATGAAGCGTCAATACAAGATAAATGGCAATATTTTCCCTAAGCTAAGGTTTGGAAATGCAATCAATGCCTGAAGAATTCAGGATTTCTACTGCTTTCTCCCAGATATGATTTGCCTTCACATAAAATGCAATAAAATATGTCTAAATCTCACAGGTTTATGAACTTTAATGAGATTTTGTTGAGCTACAAATAGCTTAACAGTAGCACAGACAGAAATCTTTGTTAATCATTGTTCTAATTCTTCTAGATCTCTCTATATTTAAATTAGTTACCAGTTGTTTGAGACTTTTGGGTGAGGAAGGACACTATGTAGTTTAAAATATCTGTTTTCCTTTTCTGTGACATTTCAAAAAAACCGCTGTCAATCCCAGCAATCCTGAAAGACAAAAATTACTGTAGTTATATTTAGTCAATACATACAGGAATTGAATCCTATTCTAGCCCAGTGGGAGCCCAACTCCCAGAATTCTCCTCAAAAAAATGGAGGTTCACACATCTTCAAGTTGACATGGTTAAGAAACAGTGCTATGGACCATTGAATCAAAAAGTTAAGCTAAAGTACATTCTTATTTTCGTTTTATCCTTTTTAGATATAAAGATAAGGCTGCAGCCTTTCCCCTCCCCCAAACAACTAGCAAACAAGTGAAGACTCACACAGATTCGTAGGCTTTGCAGGAAATACTGATGGGGATTTGTTGAAGAATAGCAGTGGTTACACTTGGCAGCACCATCACAAGCCTCTTTTCAAACCAAAGTTGATAGTCAAGATCTGTGAAACTTGGAAATTCCTTCTGCAACCTTTCAATTGTCTTGGTAAGCAAGAATGTTTTCACTTCCATTGAAATGTTGAGAGTGCGCTAAAAGAGGGATGAAAACCCACCATGACTCTGAGTGAGATGGCTGGTAAGAAAGAAATAACAGTGGTGGTTCTATTTCTGCTTTTAAAATGGGTTTGTAAGGACCCACCCCACTTTGCATCTTAAGAAGACAGAACTCTTGGAATCTTTCTTCCAACAGGCATCTTTATTAAGAGAAACGGTTGGAGGCATTCTAGACAAGACTTGGGGTCCAAGTTCTCCCATTCAAGGTTTTAAGGGGTTCTCCAGTAGCCCCCCCATCACCCCCTTCTTCCAGCGGCAGTCCCAGGCATTACATTCCCACCCCCTTTCTCTCAATGCCGACATGAGGTAGACTTCAGAGAGGAGTACATGAAAGCTAATAGCCCCATTGTTATGGTTAGTCCTTTTGGGGGTATCCACACCCAGTCTCTTTGAAGTGTACTGAAGGAAGTGAGGGCCATAAAGCCCCTTTGTTCATCCCCTTCCCTTCATCGTATGACAGAATCCAGGAAGGCAGGAATGGGGTTTTAATAACTAGAGATGAAATATAATTGGATTCTGACATCCTGCCCCCTTTCTCTTTGAAGTTAATAACTAGAGATGAAATATAATTGGATTCTGACATCCTGCCCCCTTAAAAATAAGATAGATCCACCTGAAAGAAAACAAAACAGGTATAAAAGTTAGTCAGACTTGTTAGGATACTCTGTGTGAAACTTCTTTAATAGCTTCGGGGCTCTGACATGACGTTTATGGACTCATTCGTTTTGTGAGGCAGAGAGATATTTCCATGCAACTAGGTACTGAGTCGCTCCATGATATCTCCTAGAGTCAAGGATTTCCTTTATTTCGAAGTGTTGTTCACCTTCCACCATGATTGGAGGTGGTGGTGGGGGGATTTTTGGCCGTAAAAATGACTGATGCTCTCTTTTCAGCAAGCTGCAATGAAAAATTGGGTGTATTTGCCTGAGATCTTTTGGTAATTCTAATTCTACTGTTACTGGGTTTATGATTCTTTTAATTGGAAAAGGCCCTATACATTTTGGTCCAAGTTTTTACAAGGTTGTAGGGATTTTAGGTATGTTGTAGATAAGTACACCATTTCACCTATAATGAATGGTGTAGGCTCAACCCCTTTTTATCAGCTTGTGCTTTGTATGCCTGCCTAGCTTCATTTAGTGCTTTTCTAACTATTGGCCAGGTGTTTTGTAGTTTTTCCATCCATTCTTTCAGTGATGGGATGGTTGGTTCGTTTAGGGTTAATTCTGGCATGGGGTTGAAGCTTTGACCGATGGCTATTTGAAAAGGAGTATAACCTGTGCTGGAGTGGACTGCATTATTGTAGGCAACTTCTGCAAAAGGGAGTAAGTCCGCCCAATTGGTCTGTTGGAAATTAAGAAAACATCTTAAATATTGCTCAAGTACTGACTTCATTTTTTCAGCCCCCCATTCCCTTGTGGATGATGGCTGGATGTCAGTCCCTGGGTGGTCCCTAAAAGGGATAAAAATTCCTTCCAAAATGCAGACGTAAATTGCACTCCCCTATCAGAGATGATGCGTTGGGGTGCCCCATGCACTCTATAAATGTCCTGGATGAAAAGTTTCGCTAAGGCTTTTGCGGTGGGAATCTTTTGGCAAGGGATAAAGTGCACCTGTTTGGAAAACAAGTCCATGACCATCCAGACAGCAGTATTCCCATTGCTTTCTGGCAATTCCACTATAAAGTCCATGGCTATTTCTCTCCAGGGGGCTGAGGGACTTGCCACTGTTTGTAATAGTCCTGACAATTTCCCTTGCAACCTCTTTGCAGTTGCACATTTTGGGCAGCTGGCCATGTAGCTTTCTATGTCCTTTTTTATGGATGGCCACCAAAATTGCCGTTTAATTAAGTGTAAAGTTTTCACAAATCCAAAATGTTCTACTGATTTTGTGTTATGGCAAAGCTGCATGAATGTGACTCGTTGGGGTGTTGGTATATATAACTTTTCCCCTACCCAAGGCAACCTGTCTCTCATTGTGCACACATTTTTGTTTTTCTGGAACCATTCATCTGTTCCCAAGCTTTTCCGGAATTCAATTCCAGTTTGGCTGTCCAGTTGTGGTTTTAATTTAGCATGGGTTCTGGTGGTTACTGGTGCTGCCAGTTGTGACTCTGCCATCATTGGTTTAGCGTCTGTGGCTTGCGTGCTGTTATATTGTTATATTTCTTTTCCCCTGGCAAATGTTTGAGCTTAAATTGGAACTGGTGAAAATGCTGGGACCAGCAGACTTGTTTGGGATTGAGTTTCCTAGGCGCTTTCAGGGCTTCCAAATTTTTGTGATCAGTCCACATCTGGAAGGGGATTTTTTTGCCTTCCAGGAACTGTCGCCATATGAGTAATGACCAACGTATCCCATATGCCTCTTTCTCCCATACAGGCCAGCGCTGTTCTGTTTCCGTGAGTTGCTTGGATATATATGCATAGGGTTGCAATACCCCTTCATCGTTTTCTTGTAATAGAACAGCCCCCACTGCCACATCACTTGCATCCGCCTGTATTATGAAGGGCTTATCCATGTCTGGGTGCCTCAGTACTGGTTCGGCAGAAAAAAGTCTATTTATTTATTTATTTATTTATTTATTTATTTATGAGACTTATATACCGCTTAATCTCTCAAATGCTGCTTGGCACTCCATTGTCCATGTTAGTGGCTGGCTAGGTTTTACTGAGGATGCTCCCTTCATCTTTAGTAAGTTAGTGAGGGGCAGGGCTATCTGGGCAAATGAGGGGATGAATTGGCAGTAAAAGTTTGCAAAGCCCAGGAAACCTTGTAGTTGCTTTCTTGTGCAGGGTGGTACCCAATCTAACACTGCTCTGACCTTCTCAGGGTCCATTTCAATGCCCTGGGGGGATATGAGATAACTAGGTAGTCTATCCTTTCCTGGTGTAAATTTGCATTTCGAGAGTTTGGCATATAGGTGGGCGGCTCGCAGTTTCTTTAAAACTGCTCTGACAAGGTTGACATGTTCCTCTTTTGTTTTGGTGAAGATAAGAATGTCGTCTAAGTAAACAAGGACCCCCTTAAACAGGTGATTCCTTAGAACATCATTGATTAATTGCATAAATACTGCGGGGGGCCCTTGTAATCCAAATGGCAAGACTTTGAATTGGTAGCACCCCATGGGGCAATTAAATGCGGTCTTCCATTCATCCCCTTCCTTACTTCTCACGCGATAGTAAGCTTCCCTTAGGTCTAGTTTAGACAAAAATTTCCCTTTCGAGAGATGTGACAGCATGTCCTTCATGAGGGGCAGAGGGTATAGGTTGCTTTCACTGATTGTATTCAGGGCCCTATAGTCCACGCATAAGTATAAAGAGACGTCCTTCTTCTCTCTAAAGAGGACTGGGGCAGGCACTTTAGGCGTGGCTGGCTCAATGAACCCCCTTTCTAGGTTTTTTTAAATGAATCTTTCCATTTCCTCCTTCTCCTTTGGGCTCATGGAGTAATCTGGGCTTCGGGAGTTTTGCCCCAGGCTTGAATTCAATGGCACAGTCTGTGGGTCAGTGGGGGGGAAGCTCACCTGCCCTCTCTTCACTGAAAACTTCAGCAAGGTCTCTGTATTCCTCTGGTATTTTTGGTGGCCCCTTTTCCTCCCCCATGGATTCTTTTTCTGTTCTTGGTTCTCGTAGTCCCCCTTGGGGTTTTAAGTCCATAGGGTCCCCCTTCGGGAATTTGATTTCTGCTGTTCTCCAATTCACCCAGGGGTTCCATTTTTTAACCATTCCATCCCTAGGATCATTGGGCATTCCATGCCTGGGGTCACCACAAACATTATGTCCTCCTCATGTTTGCCCAGGGAGAGGTGTATTGATAGAGTGGCTAGGGTAGCTGGCACCCCCCCCCCTACTATGGATCCATCTAACTGGCCAAATGAGATTGGTTGTTCCAGTCTCCTCAATGGGATGCCCAGATTCCCCACTAGTGTTGGGCTAATGAGGCAGCGGGTGCAGCCAGAGTCTATTAAGGCTTTCACCTTCACAGCTTCGGGCATGGGGGGAATTAATATAGTTAACTGTCTTGAGGATGGGTGCGATGCGTCCACTTACCAGGGGTTCACCCTCCGAGCTGTCGTCTGAGGCGTCCACCGGCCCTGAGGTGTAGGCTGGAGTTCTTTCCCCTTGATGAGCGGAGGTGGGGGGGTTCCACAATTTCCATCATTCTCGTGGCAGTTTCTTTTGGTTTAGCTGGAGACTTTTCAGATTTGCTGATCGGGGATCTGTCTGGGTTGTGCTGGGGGGCTTTGGAGCGGCATTCTACAGCTCGATGCCCTTCTCTTCCGCACTTGAAACACCCCGTTTGCTTCTTGGCTGTGGCCAATGGTTTCACTGGTTCGTGTGACAACTAAGGGGGGGTGGCTCCATTGTTTTCCTCGGTGGTGCCTCTTCAATATGTTGATCTCTGCTTCCTCTGCCAAGACATACCATTCCTCAAGTTGGTATGGGTCCCCTCGGGGCAGGCAAGCATCATATAGGTCATAATTTAGTCCATTTTTGAAATGGCTAAGGAGGATGTCTTCTGGCCAGTTCAGTTTGCTGGCAATGGCCCAGAAATCTTGCGTATATACGACCACTGGGCGTTTGCCTTGCTTTATCCTTTCACAGGCTTTGCGATTATCCAGGGGGTCCTCAAATCACCTTATCAGAGAGGACATGAAATGGTTGAAGTCATTGAGCTCTGGGGTATTGGAGTCATGCAAGTTTACCACCCAATCTGCGGCCGGTCTGTCCAGGGCAGATTTCACGATCCGGATGCGGTCCTTGTCGCTGGGGATGTCCCGCCTGTATTCCTCCATGTAGTTGAGGACTTGGGTTAGGAAAAACCCCAAGCGTGTTGGCTCCCCTTTGAATTTCACACCCAGCGGCGGACGTCTTGGAATGGATCGGTGCCTTCGTTGTTGGTGGTAGTGTCTTCCATCCAGATCGCCATCTGTGGTTCGGCAGGGGGTGGGGACTACTGGATCAGCAGATGTCTCCTGGGCTGCAGGTTCCACTTCCCCCTCGGTGTCTCTCCCTTTATGGCTCCAGGAGCTGGGGCGGCCGTAGGGCTCAGGATTCTCCTCTCCTAGGGAGCTGAGAGTTCTCTTCATCAGGTCGATAGCTTTCTCTAGATCCAGTCTGAGTACGGTGCCCAGCTCCCTTCCTCTTCGCTGGCGTGCACGGATTTCTCCATCTCCTGCTTCCATTCTGGTTGCTTGGCCCCCCGTCTCACGTCACCTTTCTTGATTTCTTTTCCCACTCGCCTTTCTTTCCAATGTCCATTGACCAGCGAGGCTTGTGGTCTTGTGTATCTACCACCTCTTCTCCTGAGGAATCTGACCTCTCGGATCCCAACATCTGGCAAGGTTCCAACTGGGTCAGCGGCTCTCTTTCCAGGGAGTTTTCCCCCTCTCTTGCTCCATTGTCTGACATGGTAAATTTTTGCAAAACCCCCCGGCAAGGGTCTCCCTTCCAGGTGGATTAATTTTGTAAGTCCTATCTAATGTAAGGACCCACCCCACTTTGCATCTTAAGAAGACAGAACTCTTGGAATCTTTCTTCCAACAATCATCTTTATTAAGAGAAACAGGTTACAGGCATCTTCTTCCAGCAACAGTCCCAGGCATTACATTCCCACCCCCTTTCTCTCACTGCCGACAGGAGGTAGACTTCAGAGAGGAGTACATGAAAGCTAATAGCTTAGTTAGTCCTTTTGGTGGTATCCACATCCAGTCTCTTTGAAGTGTACTGAAGGAAGTGAGGGCCATAAAGCCCCTTTGTTCACACCCTTCCCTTCATCGTATGACAGAATTCAGGGAAGGCGGGAATGGGGTTTTCCATAGTTAATAATAATAGATGAAATATAATTGGAATGCTTTTCCTTATCATTACACCTATCAAGTCTTAAAATATCTCAGAAATTTGACTCAAGAAGTATCTATTTCTCAACTGGACAAATCAAATCACAGGATAATAAATCTATTATTCATGGAAGATCACAACCACTGCCACACCATCTCTTATTTATTCTTTAGCATGCTTTGTTAATGCTCTTAGTTACATTTTTGTCCATTTGTAGTAATAATTGGAAGATGAATATAAGAACCAGAGTAATAGTATATTTTTTTAAAACTGGAAAGCTAGAGATAAAAAAATGGGGTTGTGTATGTAAGCATGAAATTGTAAAAAAAAAATCCAAGAAAGCAACCAGAGAATTGTTGCTTCTGGAATCTGGTCATTTCAATAGATATAGATAATGTTTAACCAGAAACTTGTATAACAAAATAACAGAGTTAGAAGGGACTCTGGAAGTCTTCTAGTCCAGGGCTTTTCAACCAGTGGTATGGGTACTACCTGTGGTACATTGGCACCTGGCAGGTGGTACGCAACCATCCTAGAAAAGTGGTAGTGGGGGAAGGGAATGAGCTGAACTAGTGGCAGCATCGCAGAAGCCTGAGTGAGAGATGGCTGCCAGGATCAGTGCTGCTTTCCGGCTGATCGGTGCTTCTTTGGGGCTGTCAGGGCTCAGTGGAAGTGCCAGGATCAGTGCCAGACTCCAACTGGAGCTCGGCCCTGATCCTGGTGCTTCTGCTGAGCCCAGAGGAAGCGCCGATCAGCTGGAATGTTGCAGTATCTCCAGGGTCTTTTGATTTACATTCAGATTTTTGGCAACTGATTCATATTTATGATGGTCACAGTGTCCCAGGGTCATGTGAAGTGACCAAAACCTGCTGCAACCACCCAGCAGACGGGGGGAATAAAAACCAAACACCCCCCCGCTCCACCCCCGCTGCCAATCCTCAACAGAAATGCTCAAAACAATGAAAACCTTGGACAGGAGGAAGAGCACAGCCGAATGGGCAGGCAGGTGTCTTGCTCGGCTGTGGCTTGGGGGGCACTTTTTTCAGTGCCATTGTAACTTTGAACAGTCACTAAGCAAACTGTTGTAAGTCGAGGACTACCTGTACTTATCACTTTTTTCCCTTTTTGGGGGGGGGTCATTAAGTTTTTGACACCTTTCTAGGCAACTGGTGGTACTTGGATGTTGCCCTATCCTAAAAGTGGTACAATGGGTGAAAAGGTTGAAAAGCCCTGTTCTAGTCCAACCGTCTGCTCAAGCAGGAAACCCGATACCATTTCAGACAAATTGTTGTCCATCCATAATAACTGGAGGCAAGTCATTCCACTGATTAATTGTTCTAACTGTCAGAAAATTTCTCCTTAGTTCTAAATTAATTTTTCCTTGATTAGCTTGCATCTATTGTTTCTTTTCCTGCCCTCAGATGTTTCTGATCCAGAAGACTGCAGAAGCAAAATTTTATTTTCTATGTACAGAACAAGTGCATTTTATGCAGCTTAGAATCTCTTTACAGCAGAGTTGCAGAGCTGTCTCTATTTTTCTATAGGGGATCCTTTTGAGTCATATATCTGATTTATACAGCTCTATATTTTCATATCCTTTGACACTGAATATTCTGCACCTAAAGCTGCAAAGGGATCTTTCCAAATTCTTTTTTCAAATAAAAGTGATTGCATTTCTTTCTTGTGAAATTGATATATCTTTCAAAGCAAAGAGGTATGAAGGGTTGATTCTCCTAGCCATGAGCCAAGCTTTACAGGACCAGGAGGTTGTGTTTCATTTGTAATAATAGCTTTTGAAAGGGGAAAGTGCCAACTAAGATATTGTATGGTGGCAATAATAACTACCAAGCTGTTGTTTCATGGGAGGAGGTGGAAGTAGGGTATATAGGTCTAAAGGACTTCTTGGAGAGGAGGTTTTGCAAATTCTCATTCAGAGAATACTACCATTTTCAGAGGTCATTGTGGGATAATTCAGCTAAGTAAACTGCACAGAGTAGTTTCCTGAAAGTGTAATACACATAAATACATCGAAGATTCTGTTACATAGATCCTATTTGGCACTTTAGAAAAAGTGTATTGAAAACTAGACAACTAATGCTTTTATTATTTACCACTATAATTGTTCAAGTTATCAAACTGTGTCACATATCCTTGAAAAATCCAGAACCACACTGTTTTTCAGCACAACAAGCTGTTAATATAGATACCTACAATAATTAAACTACTGAAGAGGCTATTAGTTCAAATAATAACTTAAGATGGGCTTTTTTCCACAATGTACAAGATCTTACCTGGACCAAAGACCTGGGCCCTCTGTGTGTCGACTTCTGAGACTTTGTGTGTCTTCGATTAGCCTGATAAAAGTTATTATTGTACTTATTGAAAAGGCTTGGAAAGATGAAAATGGACAAGGATATTGTCTAGTTGGGGTACAGAACATCAGAAGAGTTTAAAATCTTGGAAACTCTTTGCATGACCCCCCCCCATCTCTTTCCACATACGGAGTGGAAAAAAGCTTTGTAGGTCTGAATTGTTTTAAATTGCTTTGAATATTTCTGATTTGCACCTTCCATTCACAAGAAAATCTATTTTTGAGTACTGTAATTTGGGGAGATCTGTTGTCAAGAGTGAAAAAATGCCTGCCCTAAGGAATGAGGTACTTCATGGCCACATCTGATGATGGTTAGGAAAAGAGAAAAATGGATGAATAAAGGCAATGTCAGAATCCAATTAGATTTCATCTCTAGATATCAACTATAGAAAATCCCATTTCTACCTTCTCTGGATTCTGTCATACGATGAAGGGAAGGGGGTGAACAAAGGGGCTTTATGGCCCTCACTTCCTTCAGTACACTTCAAAGCGACTGAATATGGATATCATCAAAAGGACTAACCATAAGAATGGGGCTATTACCTTTCATGTAGTTCTCTCTGAAGTCTCCATCCAGCCGGCAGTAAGGAAGAGGGGGTGGGAGTGTAATGCCTGAGACTGTCGCTGGAAGAAGGGGGTGATTGGGTGGGGCTACTGGAGAACCCCTTAAAACCTTGAATGGGAGAGCTTGGACCCCAAGTCCTGTCTAGAATACCTGCAACCAGTTTCTCTTAATAAAGATGCCTGTTGGAAGAAAGATTCCAAGAGTTCTGTCTTCTTAAGATGCAAAGTGGGGTGGGTCCTTACAGGCAATTTGTCCAAATTACTGCTAGCTAATGCAGATCTTCATATCCAAATGACTTGTAGTTTTGGAAGCTAGGCATAAAAAAACCTTTCTTACAGACCTATGTAACAAAACAGGAAAACAGCCTGACCAATATTGACCAATATGGATGTTCTGTTTTCTTCAATCTGGGGAATTGCAAATGACATGAACATGTATGGTTGCCTTGCAAATTTTAGTAGAGAAAGTTTTCAAATTTTTGAGAATTACTAGACCAACATTATTTAGAGAAAATTCATGATTATTAAATTTCCACAAAATCAATTCTGTAATATCATGATTGTTCAGATCATAAGTCTCGATGGGTTATACATTGAAGCCTGTGTATGATAGGTCCAGTCCCCTAAATGACTGCAATACTTCTTTGAGTACAATGATCCATTAGGACAGAAGCATACTGCTATTATTTACAATAGATAGTATCAAGTAGCCAACTTTGTGTCATTAAATCATATACACATTAAAAAGGCATTAGGTTGCCAACCCATCCCCAATGGGAACTAAAAGTATAGAAGCCATAAATTATTCATGCAAATTGAAGTGTTTCTTAAAGAAAACTATACCTTTTCAAAGGCAATGTTGAATTCATCCCAATATGCTGCTAAGGCTTCAAGGCTTGGGAAATGACCCAGTCTTTGAAATACTTTCATCACCTTGTCAGTGGAGCTGAGCACTTCTTCTGTCACTGTGAGCTGAGCAAGTTGAGCAACTGAGAGTTCCTTTACATAGGCTATCTAAAGGAGAGAAGCAAAGGACAATGTGAATGGAATTTTTTCTCTTCTGCTTTCTACCATATCTATTGAATCAGCACTATGTCATATTTGGATCAAAAACAACTAAATTCAAATGGCCTGGATTAATCTATATTTGATAGACTAAGATATTTTTGTAGGTGGAGTCAAAAAGCAATGTGTAGTCACCACCCAGAGACAGTTGGCAATTGGAAATAACTTCCCACACATTAGATTTTAAGAGATCCAGGACAACGTATGTGGCACATATAGTCCTGTACTTCAGGAGAAAGGAACGGTAGGAAGTCGAGACAGGGGACTAGATATGCTTTGGATTTGAACTTATCCAATAGGGTTCCTCCAATGTAGTAAGAATAACCTACAGTAACTGAAGGTATTACCTGAATAGCAATAGTACTTAGACTTATATACTGCTTCACAGTGCTTTACAGCCCTCTCCAAGCAGTTTACAGAGTCTCAGCATATTGCCCCCAATAATCTGGGTCCTTATTTTACTGACCTGGAAAGGATAGAAGGCTGAGTCCATCAATTCAATAATTGGGGTGAATGGTAAGCATTTGTGAGAGTTATATTTTAGAAAAAAATACACTTAAATCTTATTGCAGCAATAGTGAGGGAATGTACCCTCTTGCTTTGCAAATGAAGATGATTGGCTGGTTTAGGAATGCTCCAGTGCTCCAGAAACAGCAGCCTCACTTTGCCAGATGGTAATACCATCTCCATCTAGCAGCCTCTTCCAGTTTGTGAGGAATAAAATGGGATACCATTACCAGGCTGATATTGAGGAGAATTTTTTTTTATATAGATTTGCATGCAAAAATTATATGCAGATTCTAATCTAGAAATGACTGAATATTGATTTAGGAAAAGTATGAGCTTTAGGTATGCAATTCTTCACACATGTATTATTAATAGAACATCTATTCACACAACATACTAAATATATTATCAAACAGTGCAATTGCCAAGTTTATCTTTACAGGCAAAAAGAAGAACATGCTTTTGGATGTATCCAAGCAATTTAGTATAATTCTACTTTTTTATTTGTTTATTTAAAAGAAACAGACCAAATAAAAGAGGCGGTGGAGTTTCATTATATATAAGAAGTAACAACATCTCTACAGAAACAGAGCACAACAACGATGAAAACTGTCTTGAATGCATTTGAGTTAATATAAAGGGGGAGGGGAATGACATTGCCATAGGTGTATACTATATAGGCCACCCAACCAAACAGAGGAAATAGATGAACTTTTTGCTAGTCTAAGGTATATAGGAAGCACATCATAACAGTAATGGGTGATTTTAACCACCCTGACATCAAACATGTTCTTGACAAACCTAGCAGACAACTTTGTCTCCCAAAAAGTAGAGAAGAGAACTAGGAGATCAGTCATATTGGACAATTCTCACTAACAGAGATGAAATGATAAAAGGTGTTGAAGCCACAGGAAACTTGGAAGGAGGAGTGATCATGCAATATTGGAATTCAACATTATGCAAGCATAAGCAATAGAACATAGCCAGACTAGAGTCTTGGACTTTAAGAGAGCTAGTTTCAATAAACCTAGAGCAGCGATTCTCAACCTGTGGGTCACAACCCCATTTGGTGACCCCCCATTTCACGGGGGTCGCCAAACAACACAGTCCGCCATTTTTTCCCCTTTTTCCTTAGCTGTGCTACTCCTTTTTATTCTATTGGCTTTTGAAAGCCAATAGAATAGACTCTCTTGAATAGAGTCTAATTCTATTGGCTTTCAAAAGCCAATAGGAATTGTCCAGACTGTCTCTGCCCTGCTGAGCCCGCCAAAAGCCCCCGTCTGCAAATGGTGCTGCAAGTTGTCTGCAGCGAAGGCAAGCTGTCTGGAAGCTTCCACCCCTCCCTGCTGAGCAACTACTAAAAATGTAAGTAAAAGAAGGTCAGGGGTGGGAGGTGGGAGGCCAGCGGGTGCTGGCACGCGTGGATTCCTCGATTTACAACCGGTTGGGGTCACGGCATTAAAAAGGTTGAGAGCCACTGACTTAGAGAGAGCTTGAGAAGGATTCCATGGATGAGAATCCTCAAGGGGAAACAACTCAAGATACTTGGGAAAATTTTAAAAGTGAAATTATAAAAGCCCAGTCTAGCACAATGAAGAAGAAAAATAACAGGTCTCAAAAGAAACTAGCATGGCTGCATAAAAAACTCTCTACTAAACTGAAAGACAAAAAGGACAGGTATAAAAAGTAGAAAGAGGGGAACATAACTAAGGCAGAATATCAGCAATTAGCTCAAGCTTGCAAAGATGAAGTGAGGAAAAGCTAAGGCTCAAAATGAACTAAGGCTTGTAACAAAAGTAAAAAATAACAAAAAAAAGCTTCTTTCAACATGTAAAAAACAAGAAAAAAGCTTCTTGGGAGCCTTTCCCAGGAAATTCAGTTGTAAAATAGTAAAGAAAGGATCATGTTCTCACTCAGTTCCAAACATGCTGTTTACAATGTTAATTAGTGCTTTTCTTCTTTGGTTGTCTGACTGAATGACTGGCCATAGGAATGTAGCCAGTCTTTCCCCTGCCAATTTGGAGGGCTTTCCTCAGATCGAACGGAAAGACCACTGTCTCTCCATGATCGACAAAGCACCCCTCCTTCTTCATCGCCTCTTTGGGGCAACTTTAGGCCCTTTTAAGGCCCCCAGTAGGTTGAAATCAGGCATGGAAAGCATAGCATTGCCTTCCTGCATCCGTTTTGAAACGATGCAAAACCAGAAATTTACACCCCAAAGTTCTGAAGGAACTGGCAGATGTGATCTCAGAATCACTGAATTGTATCTTTCAAAGATCCTGGAGCACCAGGGAACTACCAGAGGACTAGAAAAGAGCTGATGTAGTTCCCATCTTCAAAACAGGAAAGAAATAGATCCAGAAAACTACAGACCTATCAGCCTGACTTTAATCCCTGGGAAGATTCTGGAGAAGATAATCAAGCAATGAATCAGTGAACACATAGAAGAAAACGAAGTTATAACCAAAAGCCAACTTGGGTTTGTCAAAAACAGATCATGCCAGACAAATCTTTTTGCTTTATTTGACAAGGTGACAAAATTAGTGGAAGAATGCTGTGGATATAATTTACTAGGACTTCAGTAAGGCATTTGATAAAGTAGGCCACAACCTACTTACTTGACAAGATTGAAAAAGTGTGGATTAGGCAGCATCACTACCACTTGGATTTGTAACTGGCTGACCAACCACACTCAACATGTTGTCAAGCTATGAACCCAGCTGCCTTTAGGAGCGCTGAGTGCCTTTAGCTTGCTTACAGAGTGGGGAGGGGATATGGGGAGAGAGTGGAACTCTCAGGTGGTTTATCATTATGAAAAAAGCTAGAGAAATGAAACTACTGTTTTGGTGAACCGAGAATGCTTCTCATAACAATTATGGGGAATTCTATTGGATAATGTGACCTGACTAGTCAGAGGAGAGAGGAGGATAGTTACTCTTTTAATTAATTGCTTCCTGCCTTTTCATTAGAGCCAGCTTTTGCTTTCTAACTTGCTGTTATGATTGAGCCCATTAAAGATAACATTAGAGACTTTTTGACTCTGGTGTGTTTCTCGGTGGAGATTTCAGGCAGAGGTTGACACATGTAATCCTTAATGAAACTGCATCTACATGGAAGGAAGTATGCACTGGGGTACCCCAAGGCTCTGTTTTAGGGCCAGTACCCTTCAACATCTTCATCAATGATTTGGATGAGGGGATGTATGGGGAACTCATCAAATTTGCAGACGACACCAAGCTGGCAGGAATAGCCAACATTCCGAAAGACAGGCTTAAGATACAAAAGGATCTTGACAGACTTGAACATTGGGCGCTATCTAACAACATGACATTCAATGGTGAAAAAAGTAAGTTTCCTCATTTAGGCAAGAAAAACCAAATGTACAGTACAGTATAGGTGGTGCCTCACTCAATAGTAATAACTGTGACAGGGATCTTGGAGTCCTAATGGACAATCACTTAAATATGAGCCAGCAGTGTGCTGCAACTGCCAAAACAACGAACACGGTTCTAGGCTGCATTAACAGAGACATAGAATCAAGATTATGTGAAGTATTATAAAGTGATCGCTTTATAATGCCTTGGTAAGGCCAAGATAAGGCCACACTTGGAATACTGCATCCAGTTTTGGTCACCACAATATAAAAAGATGTTTAGAAAGAATTCAGAGAAGAGCAACAAAGATGATCAGGGGTCCGGAGGCTAAAACATATAAAGAATAGTTGCTGAAATTGGGTATGTCTTGTTTAATGAAAAGAAGGACTAGGAGTGCCATGATAGCAGTGTTCCAATATATCAGGGATTGCCATAAAGAAGAGGAAGTCAAGCTATTCTCCAAAGCACCAGAGGGTAGGCAAGAAGCAATGGATGGAAACTAATCAAAGAGAGAAGCAACCTAAACTAAGGAGAATTTTTCTGACAGTTAGAACAATTAATCAGTGGAACAACTTGCCTCCAGAAGTTGTGAATGCTCCAACACTGGAAGTTTTTAAGAAGAGATTGGACAACCATCTGAAATGGTATAGGGTTTCCTGCCTGAGCAGAGGGTTGGACGAGAAGACCTCCAAAGTCCCTTCCAACTCTGTTTATTCTATTCTATTCTATTCTATTCTATTCTATTCTATTCTATTCTATTCTATTTATTGGACATTTGTATTTTCATCTTGTTAAGGGTCAAAACAAAGAGACTCTGATCTTGTATTCTCATTATGTGCTGTCTGAAACAAATAAATTAATAGCATGCTGACCACAAAGGCTCCATTCTAGCTTGCTATGCAAACCCTGTCATTGTGAGTATGTGTTCATTAGGAAAAAATGGATCAGGATTTTAGTCTGGATAGCAAGTATTATAGCTGATGTTACCCCATTGAAGTTGGAATCAATCGACATCAGATCTGTGAGGTTAATCATGGATCTGAATCTCTGGAAAGTGAGGGATAACCAGTCTTCGATTGTATGGCAATCTGAAATTAAATGAAGGTAGCAACAGACTTCAAAAGTTGAAATGATTTGTATTATCATCTATGCACATAAATACGCAGAGACAGAGACATTCAGATACTTCCCATGTATGTGTGTGTATGTGTGTGTGCGCGCACGTGCACGCGTACATGTGTACGTGTGTGTACTGTATAATAGTGTAATAAGTGGTATATTTTGTTACAGACGGAACAGATGTTTCTATTTCTGTTGGTCTATGCCAATTTCTCCCATGTTAATTCATTGACTGGTTCATTTCCACATTGTTCTATGTTATCTTTTAAAAATCAGCATATTTATATACATTTAATATAAATTAATAGATATCAAACATTTTTAGACAAATCTTCCCAGAATATGAACTCTTGGATTATTTTCTTGCATGTTAATTTTTTTCAAAACACATTATACATTAATTTTATGTGTGAGTAAAAGGTAACTGCAAAAAATGCAGGGACAACTGCTCTCCCCAAAAACTGCTGAGGTTGCTGTTGTGGTATAATCCAGGGCTTTTCAACCTTTTCACCCATCGTACCACTTTTAGGATATGGCAATATCCGAGTAACACCAGTCGCCTAGCAAGGTGTCCAAAACCTGATGACCCCCCCACAAAAAAGGAAAAAAGTGATAAAGTACAGATAGTCCTCAACTTACAACAGTTTGCTTAGTGACTGTTCGAAGTTACAATGGCACTGAAAAAAGTGCCCCTCAAGCCACGGCCGAGCAAGACACCTGCCTGCCCGCCCGGCGGCGCTCTTCATCCTGTCCAAAGTTTTCATTGTTGTGAGCATTTCTGTTGAGGATTGGCAGCGTCTGCTGTCAATTCCTCCCATCTGCTGGGTGGTTCCAGCAGATTTTGGTCACTTCATGTGATTCTGGGATACTGTGACCACCATAAATATGAATCAGTTGCCAAGCATCTGAATATAAATCACAAGACCCTGCAGATGCTGCAACATTCCAGCTGATCGGCGCTTCTTCTGGGCTCAACAGAAGCGCCAGGATCAGCGCTGAGCTCCAGCTGGAGCCAGGCGCTGATCCTGGCACTTCCACTGAGCCTTGACAGTCCCAAAGAAGCGCTGATCAGCTGGAAAGCGGCACTGATCCTAGACTTCTGCTGCGCCCTGACAGCCCTGCAGCTCCAGCCATCTCTCGCTCAGGCTTGTGCAGTGCTGCCACCGGTTCAGCTCATTCCCCTCCCCTGCTACCCCTTTTCTAGGATGGTCGCGTACCACCTGCCAGTTGCCAATGTACCACAGGTGGTACCCGTACCACTGGTTGAAAAGCCCTGGTATAATCAAAGGAGCCTCCATATTGGTCATGAGTCAACAAAAACAGAAGGAAACAGCTCACCAATTTTTTGAAGAGTTGTTTTAATCCACTGAGCCACTTCAATTTTGGTCTCCAACAACATTAGGTCAAACACATAATCCAATCCTTTCACACTACAAGAAATCAAAGTAGTAGTAATAGTGGAAATCTTCCTTCTTTTCCTCCTAACCAGTTATCATATAGCAGCACTAAATTCTTTTACTTCGGAGACTTGTATGTGGGGTGAATATTCTCACTAAGCAAGAATCAAATCATTTCTTGGAGGCAATAATGTATCTTTTCAATTGGTGCTTGTTTACACTATTTTTCTGTAACATGGTTTTCACTAGACATTTGAAAGTATAATTCCCAACTATATAACTAAAATTAAATCTGGAAGGTATTGTCTTTAGGAAAACGCATGAAAATTTATTTCTGAATTAAAATTATAGTTCTAGAATGTGAAACAAAAGTCTGATCTAATTTCAATTATGAAGATCAGATCAATTCACTAATAGTATTCCAATTTATTCTGGAAAATGAAAATTTTAAATTGTGTTGGTCTGAGAAAAAAATCCTCTGCATCATATTATTTTATTGTCTGAATTGATTGTGTTCTGTTTAATTTGAGGAACTGAACCAATGCATCAATCTGGTTTAATGAATATATTTAATGAAAAGTATGATCAAATTCTTCATCAAATCAATTAGGTGTGGCAAAGCTCTGCTACAATAAAGACTAATTTCTAATAGCAAAAATATGTTTCAAGATTTCTTTTCCACTCCCCCTGCACCAGCCCAAAATAATTTCAGCTGTAAAACATGTGGTAGTAAAGATGTTTGTAATTAATAATCACTTAATTTTTAAAAATTCCCCTTCCAGATATCTCCTTCCTTCCTCTCTGCCACTTGCATTCCTTCACTATGCACACATAAAATAATAACCTGTGGAAGTTTGGCTCTCAAATTTTACTTACATAACATGCAAGTGGGTACAGTTGGATGGAGAAGGAAGAATCTTCAGCTCTTGAACAGTGATGGAGGGCAGATACAATGTCAGAATCCTACTGAACCAAAGCTCCAAATCAGTTATCCTCATGAAGACAAAATGTGGCTTTAGGATTTGAAAAATTCCCTTTAGCATGATGCCACGTACTCTCACACTGATTATTTCCACTAAGTTGTTCTGCAGACAAATGGTGAAAAAACAAATAGAGAGGTTCAAATTGTCCATGAAAAAATGCTTTTGTAGTTGTTTTTAGAGGCGCAATGTACGTACTGTGTGATTAAATTCTCATAACATACAGGTAGTCCTTGACTTACAATGACAATTGAGCCCAAAATTTATGTTGTTAAGTGAGAATTTGTTAAGTGAGTTTTCTCCCATTTTATGATTTTTTTTGCCACAGTTGTTAAGTGAATCATTGCAGTTAGTAAATTAATAACCTGGTTGTTAAGTGAATCTGACTTCCGCATTGACTTTGCTTATCAGAAGATTGCAAAAGATAATCATATGACCCTGGGACACTGCAACGGTCATAAGTACGAACCAGGCATCTGAATTTTGATCACATAATGCGGATGCTGTAAAGGTCATAAGTGAAAAATGTTCATAAGTCACTTTTTTCAGTGTTGTTGTAACTTTGAATGGTCACTAAATGAAGTGTTGTACCTATATTTCAGCCAGATCAGCTAAGAGTAAAATTGCATTAACACAATGTGCAAAGCTTGATCCATTTTAATATTGCTTGGCTTTCAACAGTGGTGTGGATACAGCCAACTGTGTTAGGTTTTTGAACATAACTGCTTTAATTCCATCTTCTCAAAGGCTTCTGATTTCCTTCACCAGAAGTCTAAAGTCAGTGGGGCAGAAGCATTAGATGAGGAACATGCAGAGCAAGAAGAGGCTTGATTCTGACTTTAATCCTTCTAGATTATGGAATAAAGGGCCAAGTGTTAGTTCTTCATTTTAAAAGCCTGAGCAAAAACCCAATTCAGCCTCTAAGCTTAGTGACTCAATTTTCAATTCTATTGATTCATTGCTTCATTTTTTGCCATTTCTTATGAAAAAGAATATCAGTGCAACTAATAAACTAATGAACAGGTTTTCATCATTTCAAAATCTGTTTATTCCTAAAAAGGCAGATGTATAGTATGTCATCCAACCAATACAGAATACACAAGAACAGAGTTGGAAAGGATCTTGGAGGACTTCTAATCCAACCCCCTGCTCAAGCAGGAGATTCTATACCATTCTGGACAAGTGACTGTCCAATCTTTTCTTAATCTCCTGATTATCTTCTGATTAATTCTTTTCATTGTCAGGAAATTTCTCCTTAATTCTAAACCAGTAGTTCTCAATCTTTCTAATGCTGTGATCCCCTAATACAGTTCCCCATGTTGTGGTGACTCCCAACCACTTATACATCACCGGGTGCCAGGGGCATGGCCAAAGAAAACGGGGAAAAAATGGCGGACAGCCTTGTTTGGCGACCCCCATGAAATGGTCGTTCGACCCCAAATGGGGTCCCGACCCACAGGTTGAGAACCACTGTTCTAAACTGATTATCTCCTTGTTAAGTTTCCATCAGTTACTTCTAGTTCTGCCCTCAGGTGCCTGAAGAGATTGATTGCTCTCTTTTCTATGATACCCCCTCAAATATTGGAAGACTGTTAACATGTTATACCTAGTCCTTCTCTTAGTTAGACTTAGTTACCCAGTTCCTGCAACAGTTCATCATGTTTTAGCCCCCAGTCTCCTAATCACCATTTTTTGCTCTTTCTGCACTGTTTCTAGAATCTCAACATCTATTTTTGTATCATGGTGACTAAAAATGGATGCAGTATTTCAAGAGGAGTCCTACCAAAGCAGTATAACATTGTACTAACACTTCATGTGATCTAGATATTATCCCTCTGTTGATGAAACCTAGTATTATATTGGCTTTTTTTTTTTTGGCAACTGCAGCACACTGTTGGCTCATATTTAAGTGATTGTTCATTAAGATACCTATATCCCTCTCACAGTTACTGCTACTGAGCAAGGTACCACTTATTCTATACTTTGCAGTTGGTTTTTCTTGTCTAAGTGTGTAAAACCTTACTTTTTCACCACTGAATTGCATTTTGTTGGATAGGGCCCAGTGTTCAAATCTGTCATCATCCTTCTGTACTTTGAGTCTATGTTCCAAAGTATTAGCATTTCCCACCAGCTTGGTGTCATCTGCAAATTTGATGAGTTCCCTTTCTATGAAGATGTGGAAGAGTATTGGGCCTAAGACAGAGCCTTGTAGCACTCCACTGCATGCTTCCCTCCACGCATATATTGTTTCTTTGAGAAGTGCATGTTGAGTGCAATTGGTCAGCCAGAGACCAATCCATCTGATGGTGATGCTGTTTACCCCACATTTTTTTATTTTACCAAGAAATAGGTTGTGGTCTATTTTGTCAAATACATTTTAAAAAACTAAAATAAAAACCTTAGCCCCAGTAGTGATTTTTGGTTTGCTGAAACAGTCCACCAGACAATCTTCTCTTACCTGTTCTGCAAGTGCACTGATTTTGAGGAGAAAAGTCTGGAGCTCAGATACATTTCGATTTTGGAAAATGTTCATCACATTGACTGCCTCCATCTCTGCATTCATTCTTGAGCTGTCAGTCAGAATGCCAGACAAAACTACCAGAGTTCCAATCTGGGTTGATGTTAGCAAATCCAGCACTTCAAACTAAAAATAGTAATAATGACAACTCACTGTAGTATTTGTTGGATGAACAGACAATAATAAAATAACAATGAGAATTATTTTTCTTGTGTCAACTGATGAGGTTTATAATATAATGAAATTCTATGAGTCTGGGAATTAATAGATGGATTTCTGTCTATAGCTTCTGAAACAAAAGTTGGATTCCCATTAAATCAAGAGAATTAGAAAAAGGATTTAAGATGTCAAGAAAAATCCATGGCCTGCTTACAAGTAGAACTAAGTACAGATATATCTAGCTTTCAAAAACCTGCAACCTAATCTAGCTTTCCTTTAATAATGAATTTCTTTATAAATTTTAATAATTTGGAGATTTGTGACCCATCCCTATGTTGCCAAATTGTAATTCCCAGCAATCTCAGCTAGCATGGAGAAGGATCATAGGATTACAGTTTAGCAACATGTGCAGAGCTTTGATCCAAAGACAATTTGAACAAATTTACTCTTTGATTTGAATCTGTAAATTTAAACTAATAATTAAAATCTTGGCTGATTGGCATATCTCAACCATTTATCAGTAGCCACACTGATATACAAATTTAGAAAGAGCAGCCTAGTGCTGGATTTGCTAACATCAACTTCTACAAGGAAAAGATTTTTTTTTAAAAAGCCACAAAGGGAGCTGCAGCAAACACATTTAAAGCATTAAAAAGGGGACAAAGCTACAATCTTAACTCTTTTGATCCACTATGCTACAGTACTGGGCAAGACAAACTCTTTAGTCTAACTTCTTTCCCAAGATAATTGTGAGGGTAAGAGGGATAGCCATCCAATTCAGGTCATGATGATGTCACCTGCATCATGAAGTTATTGTACAAATTATATGAACTGTGCAATTTGCATCACTCAACATGATATTACATTCCCACCTTTGTTCATCCTGTGGGTCCCAGTGATAAGTGGAGACAGCTACTACCTTAAGTGCTTTAGGTATGTGGAAAAAGAAATAGTACTTACTCCATTGAAAGATGGATTCAAGTGGACAAAGTTGCTGTAATCAGCCAAGTAACTGGAATGTCCAAAGTTTTCATGCAGCCAATCTCTACTGTTTGAAGCTGTGAATGTGCATGCAACTCCTGTAATACATGCGCAAATAGGAAAGCCTAATTAATCAGAAATCATAGTTTGACTAATCTTTCCTTGTGTGCCAGTCCTTCTCCATTTCTACTCTGTCTCACCTTTCTTCTGTCACCTTATCTTTATCTATCCTTACAATTCCCTAAACAATATCTGTACATCCAAAGCAAGCACACAAAAGTTTTACTTTCATATTTGTGAAACATTTGGTTGAAGCTGCTTTATTTATTCCAAATTTCTGTGAAAGGTTATGATTCAATATGAGAGATATTAGCCTTTACAGGTCAATTCACATATTTGAAATGATTACAAATTTTTATCCAGAAAAAGAGGACATTCTTTGTGAAACTGCCCTGCAAAATCACGAGGAGGATTTTATGCACTTATTTTGGAATTGGGTGATGCCAAAATAGAATTAATCGCATATATATATATATACATATACATACACACATACATATATATACATTCAGCTTTACGTTATTTTATGGGAGCCCACATGAAAACTCTCTCTAGTGGATTTGGTCCTGTCCTACACCTTGAGGCAGCCAAGATGGGGTGGGGGGCAGTATTGGACTAGGAGCTAGGAGACTTGAGTTCTATATTCCCACACAGCCAAGGAAGCTCACTGGTGACTTTAGGCCAGTGACTTTCTCTCTGCCCAACCTGCTTAATAACCTATTAGGGAAAAAAGGAGGAAGGAGCACTATGTATATTGCCTTGAGCTTCTGTCACAAAAGATGAAGTTTACATATGATAAATAAATAAACATTTCAGGACAGTATTAACCTTTGATATTGGTTAGAGCTGAGCAACATTGTGTTCATGGGCACTAGCCCAAAATGACTTCCCAATTTATTTTTGAAATTGTTCAGAAGGAAACATATAGCAAGAAACACACAGTGTATCAGAAACAGTCACCTTCTTTTGCAAGCTGCCCTTCAAGGAAATTCAAACGGTTATGAAAGACAGCAAGCTGAGTCATTGGATTTAGTTTGTAATAAACAGAATTTAGACCTTTGTAGCTGCAAAAGAAGAAAAGAAAATGAATGTTTGTATGTTGCTTATCAAGTAACAAAGGACAGAGAACAGAGCCACATGTTTTACTCTGCTGTGCTTTCTCTTTTCTCTAATCATTATTTGAGATCAGAACAAACATCACAGAACTATCTTTCTATCCCCCCCCCCCGTTAACCTTGATAGTTATTTCTCTCAGTAACATCATATATACTAGGACTATTATTATTACTTCCAAAAACTAGGCAACGTATATTTCCATTAAATAAAGCACATTTAACATTGCCTGAAACTGAACACAGAACATAAAAATTATATGAGAGTTATATTGCCATTAAAAATCATGTCTGTATTAACTAGAAAGAGTGTGTAGAGTTTCTGTTGAAACTCTGAAAAGATGTTTTGGAGTGTCTGGGCACAAATGTCAATCCTATCTTCAACTTTTGAAAGTAGCTGTGTCTTTTTCTTGAGGCCTATGATAGCTGCAGAAGGCAGTTGTGTCATCTGGAGCTTTATAGAATCATGAATAGTGATTGCAGTTGTGTTCCTGGAGACTCAAGCTTCTTTGCTGAAGAAAACTGAAGTATTACATATCTCTATACATACCTCTCTGAGGTAAAGGGTACCTCATAGCTAACATAACTGTTAATATCTTATCAACAATGTATTTCATTTTATTATTGTAATTCAATTTATATATTCTGCACCTTACAAATGATGCAGGAGTAAAACAGAAAAATTGTAAAGAAAAAAATACAGCTAAAAACAAACACTCAATAACAATCAGTTTTCTAGCCTTTTACAAATGGTGATTATATGACCTTGGGATGATGCAACCATGGTAGATACATGTGGGTTGCCAAATACAGATCTTACGAATGTGGGGATGCTGCTGGGGTCATTAAATGTGAGGACCAGTGGTAAGTCTTGTTTTTCAGTGCCATTCTAACTTTGAATGGTCACTAATGAATGGCTGTAAGTTAAGGACAACTTGCATTATTTCTTGTAATAATTCAAGTATTCTTGGAGGATTACTTATCTAACAGAATCTGCTGAACTCTTTTATATTTAAATTAAAGCTTCCCTGAACAGTGTTTTATTTGGCTGGATGGAGGGGGAGAAAACAGTTTTGATCTTTTTCATCATTGTTTGTTCTAGTAGTAGACAAAGAGAAACTGTTCTTATTGTAGTACTGTTTGACCACAGAATTGTGATTTCACTTCTAAAACATTCTTGATGGCATTTTTTAGACTAAAACCTAAATTAATTATAGTTAGAAAAGATGGTTACCTAAAAAAGAACAGAGAAAATTCCAGGAGATGTAGAATCTTTTAGATCTGTTTTGGATGAATATACAGCCAAAATTCATAAAGCTATACAGGCGATGGGAATTAAGCTTGAATTAAAAATTGATACTATGGTAAAGGAACTTCATGATGAGATACATGGTTTGGGAGGAGACATTGAGCAGGTTAATGACAGGGTTGAATGTATAGAACACAACATTGATAAACAAGATAATCTTCTGGAAACTGAAGTCAATGAGAGAATTCTCCTGGAAATTCATGCTAAAGAATTTCAATTAAGATTCAGAGCAATTCCTGAACAATCTGGAGAGGATATCAGGGCAAGGATGATTAAAGCTTTGGCTGCATTAATTGATTGTGATGAAAAACATCTTGACCTGGACATAGACAAGGTGTATTAACTGAACTCAAAATGTGCTGCTATGAGAAAATTGCCAAGGGATGCCTTGGTCCACTTTGTAAGAAAAACCACAAAAGACCATGTTCTGAATTGTCATTTTAAATTAAAATTACAAACGGAAAAGGTACACATAATTATTTTGAAGGAAATTCCTGTAAGAATTTTGCAAAAAAGGAAAGCCTACTCATTCCTTACAGATATTCTGAAGATGAGAAAAATCCCCTTTTGTTGGGGTAAGCTTGAGAGGGTGGCACTTACATACCCTGAGCAAAGGTTTTGACTGAACTCTACAGATAAAGCCAAGGATTTTTTTGAGCAGACATAAATTAATTTCAGAACCAGGTGATGAGATGGAGATGGATAAGTCTTCGGAAACAGACCAGCTTCGAAAATTTGACATTGAAGAAATGATGATTGAGAGTGTCTAGACTACAGGAATCTGATGTTTCATTTAAAGATGGAAAGTAAACTCATTACATGGAATATCAGTGGGGCTAATGCCCCATCTAAGCGTAAAAAAGTATTTCATTATTTGAGAAAACTTAATGTTGATATAATCTGTCTTCAAGAAACACATATTAAAAAAACAAGATTACAAATATCTAATAAATAAAAGACTAGGGGAGGAATTTGTATCTGCTGGATCAAAGAAGTTGTCAGAATCCAATTATATTTCATCTTTAATTATCAAATATAGAAACTCCCAATTCTGCCTTCTCTGGATTCTGCCATAAGAGGGAGAGAAGGGGGAGAACAAAGGGGCTTTATGGCCCTCACTTCCTTCAGTATACTTCTAAGTAGCTGAATGCTGAATGTGTGTTTATTGCAACCTCAAAGCGTTAGCACCAAAGAACCTTACCATAACAAAGAAGGGTATTTGCCTTTCATGTAGTTTATCTGAAGTCTCCATCCAGACGGAAGAAAGAAAAAAGGGGGTGGAATTGTGATACCTGAAACTATCACTGGAAGGGGGGTTGATTGGGTGGGACTACTGGGGAACCCCTTAAAACCTTGAATGGGAGGGCTTGGACCCCAAGTCCTGTCTAGCATGCCTGCAACCACTTCTTCTTAATAAAGGATTCCTGTTGGAAGAATTATTCCAAGAGTTCTGTCTTCTTAAGATGCAAAGTGGGGTGGGTCCTTACATTAGACAGGACTTGCAAAATTAATCCACCTGGAAGGGAGACCCTTGCCGGGGGATTTTGCAAAAATTTACCATGTCAGACAATGGAGCAAGAGAGGGGGAAAACTCCCTGGAAAGAGAGCCACTGACCCAGTTGGAACCTTGCCAGATGTTGGGATCCGAGAGGTCAGATTCCTCAGGAGAAGAAGTGGTGGAGACACGGGACCACAAGAATCGCTGGTCAATGGGCGTTGGAAAGAAAAGTGAGTGGGGAAAGGAATCAAGAAAGGTGACCCTGAGACGGGGGACCAAGCAACCAGAATGGAAGCAGGAGATGGAGAAATCCCTGCACGCAAGTGAAGAGGGAGGAAGCTGGGCACCGTACTCAGACTGGATCCTAGAGAAAGCTATTGACCTGATGAAGAGAACTCTCAGCTCCCTAGGAGAGGAGAATCCTGAGCCCTACAGCCGCCCCAGCTCCTGGAGCCGCAAAGGAAGAAACACCGAGGGGGACGTGGAACCTGCAACACCGGGGACAGCTACTGATCCAGTAGCCCCCACCCCCTACCAGACCACAGATGGCAATCTGGACGGAAGACATTACCAACAACAACGGAGGCACCGATCCATTCCAAGACGTCCACCGTTGGAGGTGAAATTCAAAGGGGAGCCAACACACTTGGGGTTTTTCCTAACCCAAGTCCTCAGCTACATGGAGGAATACGGGCAGGACATTCCCAGCGACAAAGCCCGCATCCGGATCGTGCAATCTGCCCTGGATGGACCGGCTGCAGATTGGGTGGTGAACTTGCATGACTCCAATGCCCCAGAACTCAGTAACTTCAACCGTTTCATGTCCTCTTTGAGAAGACGATTTGAAGACCCCCTGGCTGATCGCAAAGCCCGTGAAAGGATAAAAACGATGAGGCAAGGCAAACGCCCAGTGGCTGACTATACACAAGAATTCCGGGCCATTGCCAGCAAACTGAATTGGCCAGAAGACATCCTCCTTGGCCATTTCAAAGACGGACTAAACTATGATCTATATGATGCTTGCCTGCCCCGAGGGGACCCACATCGACTTGAGGAATGGTACGTCTTGGCAAAGGAAGCAGAGATCGACATATTGAAGAGGCACCGCCGAGGAAAACAATGGAGCCGCCCCCCGCCTGAGCTGACACACCAACCGGTGAAATCATCGGATACAGCCAAGAAGCAAATGGGGTGTTTCAAGTGCGGAAGAGAAGGGCATCGAGCTGTAGAATGCCGCTCAAAGGCCCCCCAGCACAACCCAGACAGATCCCAATCAACAAACCCGGAAAGTATTCAGCTAAGCCAAAAGAAACAGCCATGAGAATGATGGAAATTGCAGAAACCCCCACCTCTGCTCACCAAGGGGAAAGAACTCCAGCCTACACCACAGGGCCAGTGGATGCCTCAGATGACAGCTCGGAGGGCGAACCCCTGGTAAGTGGATGCATCACACCCATCTTCAAAACAGTGACTATATTAATCCCCCCCATGCCCGAAGCTGTGAAGGTGAAAGCCTTACTAGACTCTGGCTGCACCCGCTGCCTCATTAGCCCAACACTAGTGGGGAATCTGGGCATCCCATCCAGGAGACTGGAACAACCAATCTCATTTGGCCAGCTAGATGGATCCATAGCAGGGGGGGTGCCAGCTACCCTAGCCACTTTGCCAATACATCTCTCCCTGGGCAACCATGAAGAGGACTTAACGATTGTGGTGACCCAGGTATGGAATGCCCAATGATTCTAGGGATGGAATGGTTGAAAAAATGGAACCCCTGGGTAAATTGGAGGACGACAGAAATCAAATTCCCGAAGGGGGACCCTATGGACTTAAAACCCCAAGGGAGGCTACCAGAATCAAGAATAGAAAAAGCATCCATAGGAGAGGAAAAAGGATTAACAGAAATACCAGAGGAATATAGAGACCTTGCTGAAGTCTTCAGTGAGGAGAGGGCGAATGAGCTTCCCCCCCACCGACCCACAGACTGTACCATTGAATTGAAGCCTGGGGCAAAACTCCCAAAGCCCAGATTATACTCCATGAGCCCAAAGGAGAAGGAGGAAATGGAAAGATTTATAAAAAAAACCTAGAGAGAGGTTTCATTGAGCCAGCCAAGCCTAAAGTGGCTGCCCCAGTCCTTTTTAG